AGCAGTCCTCACTGACAGACGCCAGCAGGGGAGCACTAGAGGAGGGAGGGAAGGGAAGCCCATGGGTCCCAAGACAAACAAACCCAAGACAAACCCCGATGGGCCAGCTCCCAACCCCCCCCAAAGTGACCGGAGAAGGGGGCCTGATCCCCACGCTGGGTTAAGGTCTGGCTACCATTCAAGTCGACATTGTAAGTTCCAAGGAAAGATGAGGGAAATGGAAAAAATCCAGGGTGGACAATCGTCCTGGCGACTAACCACTCCATCTGGTCCCTCCCTGCAGCTCCAGCAATAACCCAGAAACACGGGCTTCTCAACCACACTGTCCCAGAGGCCTGCACTGTTCACTGTGCTGGGTGCCGAGCTGAATGTTAGCCATTTGCAGACAGGGACTGCACAACCCAAAAAAGGACCCGTTTTAAGAGACCACTGACATTCCGAAACCTCTGCAGAGCCGTGTCTGCTTTAAGGATCTTCCTAATGCTTGGCTGACATAAGCAAGTCCCCTCGCTGTGCCCAGATGTCCCCGGCAGGCCCTGATGACAAAGAACAGTACCTGTGTGGGGAGAACGCCAGCCCAGTGACACACTGGGAGTGCACAGCTGAGCTGAGGACACAGCTTGCGCTCTTGGTGTCCACCAGGGAGACAGTGCCGTTCTCATCACCTGCAGAAAAGCGAGAGCGCAGCACAGTGGTTAGGAGTGCGGGCTTGGGATTCAGCCAGACCTGGACTTGAATGCTAGTCCCACGATGCTGGACAAGTTAACCTCTGAGGATCAGTTTTCTCTTTCATTAAATAGGAATAAGTAGCCATCGGGTGGTTGTGAAAATTAAATTAATGGATGATGTAGTGATCAGTTTAACCACAACCCTGTCACCATGACAGCACAACTATGCACAGTAGAAAGAAATTCCCTATATAGTAAGTCTTCACTTAACATCACCGATGGGTTGTAATTCTAAGTGAAACAACATATAATGAAAGCAATTTGCATAGGCTCGTTGATATAAACCAGATTTAAGTTCCTGTGGCATCTCATCAATGTTATGAAACGATGCTGAATGAAGTGACATTATTCAAGGACCTGCTGTATCATGATCCCCGTGCTTTGTGGCCCACGACTTCTAGTCACACCCAGGATGCAAGAGCCAGAACAATCAGGACTCAGAGCCACTGGGGGAGGAAATCCTGTTGTCCAAAGCTGAACTAAAACCCCGTTAGGATGGTCCCCCTCTCCAGCCCCCGTCAGCATCATGCATGTGGTGCCAGGTGTGCTGAGGCAGAGCAGCCAGAGCCTTGTGCAATATGGAGTTGGCACTCCCTCTCTCATCCTCCCTCTTCCTAGAGTCAACACGCAGTTTGAGGTGCTCCCTTACCCAAGACAAAGACTTTGCTCTGCTGTGGGTGCCAAGCTAGTGAGGTAGGAAGGTAGCCAGAGGCACTGCAGCCTGCAAAGGAGAGAAGAGGGTTCGTATGAGACCCAGAGCCCAGCTCCGAGAAGATGCTTCTCAGGTGATGCAGTCTAAGTCCCAGGAACTCTTTATTCCGATTCTCAAACCCCACGAAGGCAGCCAGGTCCTCATCCTTGACCCACCAGCCTCCTGCCCTTTCTGGACACAAGCCGCAGGCAAGTTTCAAGCATAAAGCATGAAGATTTCAACTCTGGCTGCCTTGTTGACCCATCCAGGAAATGGAAAGTAAATCACCACCCAGGAACCAGCCCTTCCGCTGAGGTCAGCAGAGCCTCAGTGGGAAAGAGAGCGGTTGTGTAACTTATGTCACAGGAACTGGCATCTCATGACTTTCCCTTTGACTCTGGCCAAGGAAAGCCTCTCCTGGGTGGGGCCCAGTCCCACTCCCACCGCGCTCTCAGACTCACCCATCTGTGATGCTGGCTTGGGACAGCGGGTATCCCAGAGTAAAATTCGACTGTCCTAGAAGCCGAGGAAGAGAAAAGGGGCTTCAGAATCCAAAGGAGCAGCCGCGGGCCAGGAGGCCTCCACACTAGACTTTGGCCTCGAGGGTTGGAGTGCGGCTGGGGAGTGGGAAGGGAAGAAGAGGCTGTATCTCACCTCACCGCACGAAAGAAACACGGAATCCTGGTGGGGAGAGGCAGCAACACAGGTGACCTGCCCGGAGTGAGCTGTACGGGAAGGGGAGAGAAATGAGAGAGAAGCTGGAGCCACTACTAGCCAGCAGCCAGACCCTATCAAGGGGCAGGAGGGCGGGGGAGGAGGCCTAGGCTCATGATGCAATTTAATAAATTTCACGAGAGATCCTGAATGAAACAAAACCTAAGAGGAGATGTTGATGGAGTTATAAAACCTAAAAAGGGCTTGGGGAAAATTAATTAGCAAAGACAATGAGAGAGAAATTAGGGCTGAGCAGGGACAGTGAAAGATTTCATAGTTAACATCCTAGAAGAGTAATCTTCATACTGCAGGATGCATGCCTCACGGGAGTTCTGGACACTAAGTTTTAAGGGAATAGATTTCCTGAATGTTCTCTTTCCTCTGATTGAATGAGTAGCTGCCTGTAGTAGTCAGGCAGGAGAGCGAGGACCTGCTGCCCCTAACATCCAAGCAAAGTTCAAACAAAGAGTCCAAAAAGAAAATAAAAATAAAACGGCTGCCCTAGCTGGTTTGGCTCAGTGGGTAGAGCATCGGCCTGCGGACTGAAGGGTCCCGGGTTCCATTCCGGTCAAGGGCACATGCCCAGGTTGCATGCTCATCCCCAGTAGGGGGCGTGCAGGAGGCAGCCGAGCAATGATTCTCTCTCATCATTAATGTTTCTCTCTCCCCGTTCCTCTCTGAAGTCAATAAAAATATAAATAAATAAATAAAATGGCTAAGGCCAGGACTGGAAAAAAAGAGCGGGCACTCACCCCGGTATGAATTCAGTACCATCTGCTGAGTGAGGTCCCAGACCTTGATGCTAAGAAGAAAAAGAAAACAGATACTCAGTGGGTTGCAAAATCTCCAGGGACACCTTAGAGATATGCCATAATTAGTCCCTGGGATCTTATAATGAGTCTAAAATGTTATATAATAAGGCTAATCATACAGTGAAGACATCCAAAAGAGGCTTAGAGACAGGGGTGCTGAGAACAAGGACCCACCAGAAGTCTTTGCTACCGCTGACAGCTTGTGTGCCTGAGCGCAGGACACTGACTGTACACACTATGTCATCGTGCTCATACTTGCAGAACTTGCTGACAATGAGCGTCTCGTTCTCATCCAGCTCCCACAATTCAACAGCACCTGTTAGGGATAGGATGGAGGGTGAAGGGAACAAGCCTGAATTATACCAACACAGTAATTCACTTCTAGGATTCAAGTAGTCCATTGTCACTGAGCTAACAAATTAAGTTATTTCTATAGAAGCAAAGTCCATATTATTAGAGGGTTTAGCTAACTTCCAAGCCATTTGCCTTAATGCTGGTATTACTCTTTTCCTAACAACAGTCCAAACAGTTAGGTGGCAAAGGCTTCTAGGAAAAGATGAACCAGCTGGTAAAATCCATTACCCCACTTCCAGTGAGAAAATACTGGAAAATATGTTCCCGGGGGAAAAAGGATGACATCTCCACAATGGTCTATGTACACACAGTCCAGTGTGGTTAAAGCTTTCCAATTATAATAAGTATTTGTTGAACAGTTTCAATAAATGTCTTGCAGAGTCTTTAAAAATACATTGAATAACTCAATGGCTTGCACGGTGACTGGTTAAGTACTGAAAACACCCCAAAAATTGGCTCAATTTTAAATTTCATGTAATGCCTGCTAACACACCAATTCTGATCTTTTTTTTTTTTTAATAACAAAATCTCCACTACTGAGTCTGACATTCAAAACAAAGAAAGCAGAATAGAGACATTTCAGAAGAAAATGGGAAAATCTGGAAAGAGGCACCAGAGATTGGCTTCAACACTATCTCTAAGATTAAGATTATCCTTGGTCTGGACTGGGGGGTTAGGGGACAGGTTACATGGAAGAAAAAACGGTTCCAACCCATTTCTTAATTTTGTTATGAGTTTTGCTAGAAATTCCCACCAGGCAATTTAGAATTTTGGAAAAGGTATTCCCACCTACTCGGGAGTTCTCCTGAGGGACCAACACCCTCAAGCTACCCCCTGCACTGAGTGTGGGGCATGAAAGACTGAACCTAGCCCGACCTGTACCCCCTCGGCCTTCATTGCACCCGTGAGGTTGAGGAGACAGTGACTCACCTGAATCGGAAGCCACTAAGATACCTCTGTCCCCCACCCAAGTGAGGTCCGCTACTCCGGCCTCCGTCTGGACTCCAGCGGAGCAGAAGCCTTCGTTGGGGGCGGCACAAGGGTCCTTGAAAAGCCAGAGGGAGCCAGCCCAGCAGCGGCCACTCAGGCTGGAAGCCCCGAGCAGGAGCGCCCCATCTAAGGGAGGTACAAGCTGTCAGCGCGCGAGGAATGTAAGGGTTCGTCTCCATGGCGACAGCCCAGAAAACCACGCGGACTGAGGCTGGATGTGAGCTCCGGATCGCGGGGCACGGTTGGGGACCGAGTTCAGCGAGGGATGGATCAGGGTGGCAGGAGGGGCGGGGGCGGGCCAGAAGGAAGAGTCTCGGGAAGGGTCGCCCCGAGGCGGGGTGAGGGAGCCCCAGGCCCGGGATCTCGGCTCACCCGACCGGTACCGCGCAGCCTCCAACTGCCGCTCCATACAGGCGGGTGCATTAGGGGGAAGGTTCCACTCGCGATCCTCCGGGGGCACTAGAGGGGGCGGGGTTTCCTTCCTCATCTCCACGGTTTCAATGCCAACCTAGACCCAAACTGGACGCCCGCGGGAGGCTCAGCTCCGACAGTCCCCACGTGGTACCCCCTGGGCCTCCGCCCCTCTGGACAGGCGACTGGCACGCTACATCTCGCGAGAATTGCTTCTACGGTTCCATTCCGCTTTCCGGCTGCCGCCCTCCGCGACTGGTTCTCCGCCCTACGGGACTCTTATCGCGAGAAAAAAGAATTGGAGAGGAAGTTGAGGGAACGAGGGTGCGCGTTCTCTTCTCGCGAGACTTGCGGGCGACCATCTTGCTCGGACTCGGGTAGAATACTTCGTCCAGGTCACCGGGACCCCAGGACCGCCGAGCCTGCCCTCGCTGACCATGCTGTCTCGGGTGGTGTTTTCTGCAGCCGCCGCAGCGGGTGAGAGGTGTAGGCCTGGGTGGGACTATCATGACTGTAGAGAAGCGCGTCTAGGGTTACGCGGAGCGGGTGGGAGGACAGTGGCCGAAGAAACGCTAGCGAGCCTGGGGCCTGAGTGGGGGGTTCTTAGCGCCGCTCGGAAGGTGGGCGCGAGGTCTCGGGGGACAGGAAAGAGAGGTGAGTGGCCTTAGTGGTCGGGCCCCGCGGGGACCAAGGGAGGGGCGAACCAAATGTCACCTTGACCTTGCTGACCTGCGCTTGTGTGTTTGCAGCCCCCTCCCTGAAGAACGCCGCCCTCCTCGGTCCCGGGTAAGTGAGGGGCGTCATCCTCCCCTTCGCCCTTGTTTTTTGTCCTCGCCTTGCGCTTCTCTGTGACCTCTCAGCTTTGGGCCAGAAATTACCTTTTTGGGGGGTAATTTTGGAACGCATAAAGCCTCATTCAAACACTGGGGCTTCTGAACTACCTAAAATATCGTCGTCGTATCACATTATGGCAAAGATGCAGAGTTTAGGCGATGTGTTCTAACTAAACTATAAACTGGTTTGATGTCTTCTAAGCCCCGCCCCTCTCCCTTGTGACCTTCAGGTAGACAGAGCTGCCACCTTGCGAATCAGAGTTCCTGTGATCAGAATTTTTGCGTACCCAAGGACAAGTTTTTGCCTTGTTTTTAGTTAAATTTATTGGGGTGACATTAAGTTTCAAGTGCACCGTTCTGTAAGGCGTCACCTGTAGATTGCATTGTGTGCTCGTTGAGTCTCCTTCCCTCGCCGGGTAATTCACCACCTTTTCCCTCTTCAGCCTTCCCTCAGCCCCTTTCTGGTCAGACTGTTGTCCGTGTCTATGAGTTTATTTGTTTTTGTTTGTTAGTTTGTTGCTTTCTGTTTCATATCCCACATATGAGTGAACAGGTTTTTTAAAGTAAAACAAAAATGAAGCGAGTTGTTTGCGGTCTGTCTCCCAGATTCCGACTTTTACTGCCAGGAGATAAGAGCTAGGGAAATCTATTGATTCAATAGGTATTTAGTTGCCACCCAGACAGCCAGAGATAGAAAATGAGCAAGGCTGAGGGCCTGCCTTTATGGAGCTGACAGTCCAGAGAGGAGGTAGCTGTAGAGCAGTGGTTTAGAGCAGCGATTTTCAGCCTGTGTGCCACAGGGATTTTAAAACATGCAACGCGTGACTATTTAGTCAAGGGCACTGACCTCTTTTCCCTTCGACTGTCAAATAAAAAAATGAAGACAGCCCACACAACAATGGCCATCAAGTGAATGTATCAAAATTATACCCTTTTTTTTTTTTTTGGTCAGGTCGGCCAAAATTATAATACATTTTTTGGTGTGCCGCAGAATTTTAATTAGTTATGTGTGCCATGAGAACTTAAGTTTGAAAATCACTGGTTTAGCGTAAGAACTCCACAGCTAGAAGAAAGAGGTACACCTGGCCTCTCCACTTACCAGCTGTGTGACCGCTGTTTCCTCATCTGCAAAATGGAGATAATTGTGCATTATGGGTTATGAAAATTAAAAGAGTTAATTCCGGTGAAACTGTAAAACCAGTGCCGGATACGTAGTATATACTTAGTAAATATTAGCAGCTGTTAGGTTAATATTATTTCATAAAACCTGTCCATTTGGGAGGGTGATTTCTGTTTTTAGCTGTAAATCTTGCAAAATGTGATAACTATTCTGTGGCCTGAAAAGGTGGCTTTAATCTATCTGTAATTTTTGAGTATGTAATAAAGCAAAGCTCTAATTGCTTCCAACTTATCAGAGAAGAAAGATTCCATACAGACAAGTAAATAATTATCATACAGGTAATAAATAAAATACACAAGATTCATATATAAGATACAAGGAACATCCTCGATTTCTCTTTCTTTCACTTTCCATATCTAATGCATCAGCAAGGTCCTTCCACCAGATTATACCTGGACTCTGACCACTTCTCCCGCTACCACCCTAGGGTGCAAACCTCCATCAACTTTCACAGGGGCTATTCTGGTAGCCTCTCAACTAGTCTCCTTGCATCTTTTCTTTCCCATTACGGCCCGCTCTCCCAGTAGGAATTATGTCCGTCTCCTCACCCCACACCCCTGAACCCTCCAGAGCTCCCCATCCCACTTGAAATAAAATCCAAACTTGCATCACCAGAAGGGCCCAAATGAGCGGGTCCTATCCTGCCTCTTCAGTCACTGTCCTTTTAGCTCATTCTGCGGCCATAGGCCTTCTTGCTGTTCCTTTTACAACTGTGGAGCTTATTTTTTGCCGCAGATCTTTGTACTTGCTCTTCTCTCTTTCCCCAAGGTCAGTGGCTCAGGTGTCCTCTGGCCTCCTACAAAACGCCTTGCTCCCACTCTGTTGCTCCCTGTCCCCTTATCTTGCTCCGTTTTTCCTCATAGAACCCGAAATAGCTACCTGAAAGCGTACAGACCTATGTACACACTCCCCACAGCCTTACAGCAGTGTTAAAAAGGCTGGGACTTGGTGTGCTTGTTGCTGTGCTTTCAGGGCCTGACATAAGTGGAAAATCAGTGATGAATGTTTGTGAAATGAATAAGTGTTACCCCAAGATTGGAGAGGCCCTGATAAAGGATGTACTAGAGATGTCCTGAAGGCTGGTTGGATTTGGCAGCTACTAAGCGAAAGGCATAGCAGGCAGAAGGAGCAGCATGAAGCGTGTGTGTGTTTTTTTTTTTTGTTGGTTTATGAGAGCTGTGAGTACTTCTTCATGGCTAGAGGGTAGGAGAATGAAGGAAGGTGAGGGTCTAAAATTTGACAGGTGCTGAATCATGTGCGCTATATTAAGTGGTTTGTTTTTCTGTAGGCTTTAAGTAAAATTTGCATTTTAAAAATATTGGCAGCAGTGTGTCAGGGGCTAGGATTAAGGGGTATTTGACCAGAAGAAGAGAGACCAGGTTTTGGATTATTAAGTTCAGGCAAGAGATGAGGGCTTGAACTACGACAGCCAGTTGAGAGGATTTGTATCAGCCTAAAGCCATTCTCCAGTGCTGTGATTAAAATCAGCGGTTCTCAGCCTGGGCCAGTGTGCCCTCCATGGGACATTTGGAGGGGGGATGCTACACTAGATGCTTCTAGAGCAGTGGTTGGGAAACTGCGGCTCGCGAGCCACATGCGGCTCTGTATCAGCCTAAAGCCATTCTCCAGTGCTGTGATTAAAATCAGCGGTTCTCAGCCTGGGCCAGTGTGCCCTCCATGGGACATTTGGAGGGGGGATGCTACACTAGATGCTTCTAGAGCAGTGGTTGGGAAACTGCGGCTCGCGAGCCACATGCGGCTCGACCAGGGTTCTAGTGTGTACAGACCACAGGGATACTGCTAATCCCTTTACAGTGCACAGAACAGTCTTCTACAACAAAGTATTGTCAGTAGTCCAAACTGTCAGTAGTGCTAAGGTTGAAAAACCCTGATTTAAATGAAAGAATCTTGAGCATGATTCTCAGATTTCAAAAGTTGATGGGGTATTGAAACTAAAAGAAAATACTATAGAGTGTAAACTGTAATTCAAAAAGATAAAAAACAATAATGTTAAAAAGACAAGCAGTGAACCAAAATCAAAGAAATAATATAAACTCTTACATTGCAAGGGGATAGAGGTACAGAGAATTGGGACAAAAACATACCGAGTATTTGAAGGAGACTACGCTTGACAGCAAATAGGAGAACGACTAGTGGATTTTATTTAATCTGAAACAATGAGACACCAATTTGCTATAACTGCTAAAAATGGAATCTTAGGCTATTACAGTACAAGAATAATTTTCAAATCCACTGTAGTACAATACAATAGTAGTACAATACAATAATGGCAATAGCAAGTTCAGAATATATATTTGTAGAAAGAATGATTTGGTCATGCTGTGTTAAGAGTATTATGTTCAGTTCTGTGTACCTAGTTTTTGTAAACAAAATCAGAGAGCTCCTTGTGATGGACAGTCAGGATTGTGTGGGGAGATGTTTAACCCACATATACTAGTATGAGCGTATCTTTCATACAGGGAAAAATAAAATTAGAACCAATAAAAGCAGGTTTCAAGACATACATAGCAGTTCAATTCAAAGGTGAACATAATTAGAGCTACCTAACACTGAAACAAACCTGTTTCACATAGTGTTGGTCAGCACCCCATCCCAGAGAATATTCAAAAAGGTCAAAGTTCTTGCCATCAGGGAGCTCATAACACAGTGGACATGTAATAGTTAACCACTGACATAGAACTTTAACATACGCCAAGTACCATTCTAAACAGGTTTAGGATTTGAACCCAGATAGTAGTCTGCCTTTGGTCTATGTTCTTACATATTTCCGTGCTGATAATAGACAGATAACTGATGAGACTTACAGAAGGGATTCTAGTTTTGGGTAGAAGATTACATACGACTTTATGTAAGTCATTTGCCCTGTCACACAGCTAATTATTAGACCCTAACTTTCCTGTTCTTGGTCTATTCTCTTTCTGTTATGACCTTTCTGTTCTTGGTCTCCATCTCTTTCTTGTTGCCTCAGTCCTTATCCCCATTCATTGTTTCTACTAACTTCATACACTGTGTTCTCTTTAAAGAATAGACTTTAAATTTGTGTCATTGCTACCTTAGGGTTGTGCAAGCAACAAGGATCTTTCACACTGGGCAGCCAAGTCTTGCCCCTGTACCACCTCTTCCTGAATATGGAGGAAAAGTTCGTCTTGGACTGATCCCTGAGGAATTCTTCCAGTTTCTTTATCCTAAAACCGGTGTAACAGGTGAGCATTTGCCCATTTTGATAGTATGTTTGGATTGTGTGATTTATGTTAACCTAGGATTTGGGCAGCCTCTTACTTCTTCACATACACCACAAAAATCAAGCCAGCTGTTTTAAAAGTAATTGTGGAAGTGATTCAATATAACAATTTAGTTGCTCTAACTTGTCTTTGGAATAAATTTGTTTGGAATTTTAACTTGATTTTTAGCATTGTCTCCATTTGTTGATATACTAAGTTTATTGAATGCCTGCTCTATGCCAGGTACTAGTCTAGGCGTGCAGTGGTGTGCCATCACAGAACATACATGCTATTGTAGGATACACAATAAAGAAACAAGTAACTGTATAATATACTATCTAATAGAAATAGCTGTGGATTAGAATAAAGCCAGGTAAGGCAGTAGAGTGTATTAAATTGTATATGTAAGCATGAAAACAGAAAATGGGCTGTATTTATCAGCTTTTCCCCCTCGAGGTCAAAAAAGCATAAAATGTTGTGAAACATTGCATTTTTATAATGCAACTAGAGGCCCGGTGCATGGATTCATGTGCTGGCAGCGTCCTTCAGCCTGTCCTGCACTCTCTCGTATCCCGGGACCCCTCGGGGATGTTGGACTGCACAAAGTGGCAGGCGGCCAGGGAGGAGCCCAGGCTGGTGCTGTGCCGCTCCCGCTCATCCCGGCCCCGCTGTGCAGCCGCTAAGTAGCACTGACATGGAGGCGAAGAGGCTCCTGGTCACCAGCCATGAGCCCAGCTTCTGGCTGAGCAGCACTCCCGCTGTGGGAGCGCACTGACCACCAGGGGACAGCTCCTGCATTGAGCGTCTGCCCCCTGGTGGCCAGTGTGCGTCATAGCGACTGGTCGTAACAGTTGCTTAGGCTTCTATATATAGGAAGAGAAGATATGGTTTCACTTAACACTATTTAATTCTTACAACAGTGCCATGAAGACATTTTCATTACCCAGAAGAACTAGGAAACCAAGGATTTACCAAATTTTTTCTCTCTTTAGTAACTGAGTTGTACTTAAATCCAGATTCTCCAATTAGGTTTAGTGTCCTTTCTGCTACATGCACTGTCTTGCTTGCTGTACTCATGTACTGCTAGGATTGTGGAACATTGGAAACCAAGGTGGTTTTTTTTGAACCCTCCAGGGAGTGCCTAGATTAGCATTTTCCTAACTCACTGGTCGGCAAACTGCAGCTCTTTGGCCCCTTGAGTGTGGCTCTTCCACAAAATACCACATGCAGGCGTGCATGTACAGTGCGATTGAAACTTCATGGCCCATGCGCAGAAGTCGGTATTTTGTGGAAGAGCCACACTCAAGGGGCCAAAGAGCCGCATGTGGCTCGCGAGCCGCAGTTTGCCAACCACTGTCCTACCTGAAATTGCAAGAAACATTAGTGTCCCCAGATCTCCATAGATGATGAAAATGTTACATGTGATAGACCTTTTTTGCAAATTCACATTTAAAATCTATATATAGAAGGCAAATTAAAAAACAAAACAAATCTTGAAACATTGTATGGGAAACTGGGTAAAATATTTTTGAAACTCTAGTTGACCATTGACATGGGTTTGAACTGTAGGGGTCCATTTATATGTGGATATTTTTCAATAAATACTGTAAACAGCCAGTTTGGCTCAGTGGATAGAGTGTCGGCCTTCGGACTGAAAGGTCCCAGGTTCGATTCCAGTCAAGGGCATGTACCTTGGTTGTGGGCACATCCCCAGTGGGGGGTGTGCAGGAGGCAGCTGATAGATGTTTCTCTCTCATCGATGTTTCTAACTTTCTATTCCTCTCCCTTCCTCTCTGTAAAAAATCAGTAAGATATATATTTTTTAAAAAACAAAAAATCTCTTTTTAAAAGGCCAATTTTAAATAAATAAATACTGTAAATGTATTTTTCTTATTTTCTTATGTCTCTAACTTTATTGTAAGAACAGCATATAATACATACAACATATAAGATATGTGTTAATTGACTGTTTATGATATTGGATAAGGCTTCCATTAACAGAAGACTTGGTAGTTAAATTTGGGGGGGGGGTCAAAAGTTATGTGTGAGTTTTGGACTGGGGGGGTGGTCAACACCCCTAACTTCACTGCTCCCCACCACGTTGTTCAGAGGTCAGCAGTATAACTCCTTTATTCTCATACTATAGCCTAACGTCCTTTGGTGCTAGTGTTTCTCAAAAACACTAAAATGCTGCCATAAAGGTCTGCTTTGTCTCTGTTTAGCGTCCTGGGAGGCAAGAAAAGATAGCTATATTTGAAGCATTTGAAGATGCTACAGGAATTGAGAACCCCGATATCTAATTATTCCTTTTTTATGTATATACTACTTTATAGCTGTAGTTGTTTTTTATCTTCAGTGTCAGGTTCCTAGTCAATAAAAATAAGCAGTGGTAGATACATTTTATCCTGACTAATGTTCCCATTCAATAAGTTGTACATTTTGCTGAACAAATTACTTCTGAAAGTTTCCTGACTTCTTTGTGGAATAGTTCCTGTTTGTTGAGCAGCTATGCTAGGCACATTATTTTTTAAAAATATATGTTTTTATTGATTTTATAGAGAGAGAGGAGAAGGAGAAAGAGATAGAAACATCAGTGAGAGAAACATCGATTGGCTGCCTCCTGCACACCCCCCACTGGGAATCGAGCCCACAACGTGGGCATGTGCCCTGACTGGGAATCAAACCAGCGACCTCTTGGTGCATGGGTCAACACTCAACCATTGAGCCACACCAGCTGGGCTGTGCTAGGCACTTTACATACATTATTTTTAATTTCATCAACCCTGTGAAGAAGGTACTGTTCCCATTTTACAGATGAGGAATCTAAGCTTAGAAACTACTTATGTTCCCCAGTTTCTTATAAGTTGTAAAGTCAGATTTCCTTGAGTTCAGATCCTTGTTCTCTCAACTCTACCGTAATGCTTCTCAATCCAGTATTCTGTCTTTGAATCCAATTATTTTAATCATTATTTGGCCTTCAACTAATTAAATGCAGAATTATCTTTCTATCTTACCCTGTTAGACCTAGCATATCCATCATAAAATAACCTTTTCTTTTTTTAGGACCCTATGTGCTCGGAACTGGGCTTATCTTATATTTTCTATCCAAAGAAATATATGTGGTTACTCCAGACACCATCTCTGCTGTATCAACAATAGGGTTGCTTGTCTATATCATTAAAAAATATGGTGCCTCTATTGGGGAATTTGCTGATAAACTCAATGAGGTAAGAACCATAAACCTTATTTCCCATTTGAGACCATAGTAGAAGCCATCAAGTGATGTTTTTGATATGAATATATATATATGTCTATATATACATACATATTCAATATAATTAGAAATTAATCTAATTATAAGTACAACTACAGGTGTTGATAGGTTACTAATTTGAGATCAGAAATCAAGATAAATTTTTGAAAATCTACCAAACTTTCTCCAGTTTTTCCATGGTTTTGTTCACTCAACAGATACTGTGTACCTGTCATGGGCAATTCTTTTAAAGGATTTGTGCATTTCTCCCTATATGTGTGTATGTTTCTGTGTTTTTATAAATGGGGGATATAACTTTGAGAAAAAATAAAATGAATTTGTTTAATTACTCTTGGTGCTTTCACTGATCTTTGTTCTAAATATCGTAATTGCAGCAACAAATTGCCCAACTAGAAGAAGCGAAACAGGCTACCATGAAAGGCATCCAGGATGCAATTGAGCTGGAGAAGTCCCAGCAGGCACTGGTTCAAAAGCGCCATTACCTTTTTGATGTCCAGAGGGTAGGTTTCAGAACTTTCTCAGAAGAATGAAGGTACTCATTTGTATGCATTTAAAAAAAAATTTACACTCTCTTACATGAGGAATGGCTGGAAATTGAGCATATTTTATTTAGAAAAGAGAAGATTTAGGTAGGGGTTGGCAGTTAAGGCTGTTTAGACATTGAAGACCTATCACATGTATAAATGTTTAGTTATTACTCTAAAATTAGAAAGCTAAAATTATAAATCCACACAAAAGGAAAACAATCATTAAGTTACAGCTGATTAAAGAATGGAATTCACTGTCTAAGGCACTTCACGAGGAAACATGTTTGCTATAAGAAAAATCTGATACTTACATTCCAAATTTACAAGCAGATTCAGGTAGTAGTAAAACTTTTTACCATGGTCAGAGCAGAATTAGATTCTAAAATATTTAGTTTTTAAAACCACTTTAGGAACATGTCCAAATATTTTGTTGTTACTTTGAGTACAGTACTTTATGCCTAATATTTAAAGTGAGATGTCCTTATGTTGAGGTTTTATATTATAGAAATACCTATGAAATGAAAAATGACATGCTAAGGTAAAGTAAGTATCTGAATAGTAGGCTCTAGTCCAATAGTTCTTTTTTTTTTAAAGCACTCTAGTTTCTTTTTTTTTTTTTAATATATTTCTTTATTGATTTCAGAGAGGAAGGAAGAGGGAGAGAGAGATAGAAACATCAATGATGAGAGAGAATCATTGATCGGCTGCCTCCTGCACGCCCCCACTGGGGATCGAGCCCACAACCCAGGTATGTGCCCTTGGCCGGAATCGAACCTGGGACCCTTCAGTCCGTAGGCCGACGCTCCATCCACTGAGCCAAACAGGCCAGAGTGTCAAGTCCAATATTTCTTAGTGTGGTCTCAGCACCACACAAGCATCAATCATTTGGTGCAGGTTTTTGGACCTATTCTAAGACCTATGGCATCAAAACCTCTGCTAGGAGCTATCCAGATATCTATGATTTAAAAACAGGATGCCTGAAGATTCTTAAGCACATGAATGTTTTAAAACCTCTTTCCATGCATAATTAGGTTACAACCAGAGAATACTTTCTGCCTCATGCATAATTGAGTTCTTCCTCTATGGAGACACCAGTCAAGACAGGTTCTGGGATTACAGCAGAGAACAAAACAAAGTCTGCCTTCGTGGAATCTACTTTCTATCCAAGGGTTGAGAAAAGGACAGAAAAAAATTGATCAGACGTGAGTGTCGATTGGTAATAAGTGCTATGTAGAGCAATAAACTAATGTTAAAGGGAAAGAGATTTTAGAAGGAGAAAGTTACTATTTTAATAGGCAGTCTAGAAAGGCCTCTAATGTGATTTTTGAGCAGAAACCAGAACAAGTGATGGTGCAGCTATGTGGATTTCTGGAGAAATAGTATTCCAGGCAGAGGGAAGAACATTTGTAATGTCATCCCTAAACCTGGAAGCTTGCTCAGTATAGTCAAGGAAAGTAAGGAGGCCAATGTAACTGAAGTAGATTGGGTGAGGAGGAGAATTTTAAAAAGGCAAGGTGGAGTGTGGCCAGGGGCTAGATCATATAAAGTCTTATAGGCTTTTGGAAGAACTTTGACCTGTACTCTGAAGGAGAGAGAAAGTCACTGAAGCTTTTAAGCAAAGGAGTGATATGATCTCACTTACGTTTTGAAAGATCACTCTGATTATCCTGTTGCAGATAGCCTTTGGTCTTGTATGCATTAATTTGAAATGCCAATGAGTTGGTGAAGTAGAGTTGTTAGGGTCATTGGATATGTGAGTCTGGAATCGATGGGGATAATTCCAGGCTGCAGATTTTGGAGTCATGAGCTTACAGGTGGCAATTAAATCCATAATTTTGGAACACAAGGGGAAAAAACAGGTAAAAAAAAAGTACTGCTTCAATTTGTAGTCCCTCTACTTATGGTCAAGTAATAAAGGGCCTAAGAATTTACCATAGGATTTAGCAACATGGAGGTTCTTGGTGACCTTGGTAAGGGCTACTTTAGTGAATCGATTGGAGTGGGTTGAAGAAAACAATGGAAGAAAAGAAAATGGAGTCACTATAGACAACTGAAAATTGTCAGAGTTTTACTGTAATGGTGGGCAAAGAAATTAATAGCTAGGAGGGGAGGATGTAGGAATCGAGAGGTTAAAAAAAAGTATCATTACATATGAGCATCTGATAGAAGTTAGGAAAAAATTAATGCAAGAAAGGGGAGGGGAGAGTTTGCTGGAGTGATGTCCGTCAGTAGCCAGGGGGCTTGGGATAGAATGCACACGTGGAGGGGTTGGCTTCAAGAGCATAGATAGTTGAGCCATAGCTACAGAAAGGAAGGCAACGCATGTGAGTATAGGTTCAAGTAGGTTGTTTATGTGGTGGTAGAAGCTTGTGGAAATTCTTTTATTCCTCTTTCTCAGTGAAATAAGAAGGAAGTTCATTTGCTGCGAGTTGCAAGTAGAGAAGAAGATAGGAGAGATTTGAGGGGAAAGAGGATCGCGAGAGGGAATGGACTAATGAACTGTACTCAGGAGTATTAAGGGCCTACGTGAGATTAACATGCCAAGCCTTCACATTTGACAGGCTGACTGTAAGGAATCTCATCACACACGAGAAGATGACAGTGTCCCTGTCACCATTATTAATTTGATAATGTTCTGGAGGCGTGAGTTGATATTATTATAGAAGAGAAAGAAGCGAGAGGTATAAAAATTCAAAAAGGCAAAGTTAATCTTATAGATTACCTGATTATATTCCTAGAAGACCTAAGAGAAGCAACATAACTCTTAAAACAATAAGTAAATTCAGCAAGGTATCTGGATACAAAATTAATATCAAACAAAATCAGTAGCCTTCTATATACAAATAGCAATCCATCAGAAAATATACTGGACGAAGATAAACCATTTAGGAGAAGATGCCCAGGAGTAAACTTAACTAGAATTGTATAATCTTTTTCCTTTGTGAAGTGCTTGTGAGGTATGAGGCTCTGAGATTGGAAGGCTCAATATTATAAAGACATCAATTCTACTTTAATCTCTGAATTTTAACACATTCCTTCTTAGAAAGAAAATACTAAGAGATAGAGGTGGGATGTTGGGACTTGGACAAATTGATAAATAGAAAATTAAAAATTTTAACAGGGATATTCTGAAAAATTGAAGTTATGAGGAACAATCCTGCCAAATATTAAAATTATAAAATTAGGATGAACTTGAAATAGTATGGTCTGGTATATGAGTAGAAACTGAGGTGATAGGGTTTAGAGATAGACCTAAACACATACGGCAGTTTACATCAATGGCATTTTCATCTTAGTGGAGGAAGGACAAGTGGGTACCTTTGTCAGTAGTATAAAGTTGGTTTCCTACCTTCTGCCTCATACTAAAATAAATTTCAAGTGAATTAAAGATCTTATTAAATGAAAATATAAAAGTAGAAAAGAGTATGAAAAGAAATACAGTACCCTTGGAGTTGACAGGGCCTTTCTAATAAAGATAACAAAATCCAGAAACTTACGTGTGGTACAATGTTAACTAGATTCATTGTAGTAATCTTGTCATAGTATATACAAATATAGAATCATTGTACGCGTGAAATTAACATAGAGGTCAATTACACTCAAAAAAGACAATTTGGAAACTAAAAGTTGAAGTGCAGTTTTCATCATTCCTTCATTTTGCTTCAGAATAACATTGCTATGGCCTTGGAGGTTACTTACCGGGAACGGTTGCATAGAGTATACAAGGAGGTCAAGAATCGCCTGGACTATCATATCTCTGTGCAGAATATGATGCGTCGGAAGGAACAAGAGCACATGGTGCAGTGGGTGGAGAAGCATGTGGTACAGAGCATCTCTGCACAGCAGGTACGTGGTGTTTGAAGCTTCTGGACTTGGAGTGGTATCTCTGACAGGTGTCCTCTGGTGGCCCAGCCAGGAGTTTTTAGAGACAATCTCTGGTTGGTTTTTCTGAATGGTGGAACCTAGAAAATGCTGCACAGCTACCTGGGTGGCTTCCTTCTCCAGAGTTTGGTTAAAGGCCTCTTATCTCAGGTCAGAACAATAGAAAGATTGTTCAGAACACTGGTTGTTGCAGACTGTGATCAAGTTCATCATTTGGGAAACATTAACCAACACATTTAATTTCTCCCTAAAACATAGAGACTGGACAAGGTTATCTCTGAGCCCCTTCCATTTCCTAATTTAATGATTTTCATTCCATTTCCTCTTTCCCAGCACCTGATTTATTGGTCTTGAACAGAAATTTTTTCTATTTACCTAAACTTGATCTCCTTTTTAAAAATTATGTTCTTTATTTACTTATGACGTGATTTCTTCTTTCCCAGATATATAGTGTTATATTAATGAATTGTTTTTTTAATAAACTATCTTTTATGTAAAAAACATGTACTTATTTTAAAAAGTTGGAAAATGTAAAAAAGTGCAGAAAATAAAAGAACAGTTATTTTCATTCTTAATAATTTTGTATTGCTAATGTTAGTTTGCTCTCTTTTAAGCAGCTAGTAGCTGTACAGCTCACACCGATGGCATGTGGTTACAGGCGTAACTGGCTTCAAACTCTACATAGATTTTACTTATAAAAGCTGAGCCAGGGAGTTTTAACTAATCCCTGGATTTTCTTAAAATAAATTGCTTCTTCCCTGTGTAAATAAGTAAATAATTCCTAATAGTTTATTATATTTAAAGTCAGTAATACAACTAAAGATTGTGTAAGAATCTCAAGGTTTTGTAGGAGATAAGAATTACGTGTTTATATCCTTCCGTGATTTGGAAAGATCTAACCAGATTTCTCTTTCCTCATCACAGGAAAAGGAGACAATTGCCAAGTGCATTTCAGATCTAAAACTGCTTGCAAAGAAGGCTCAAGCACAGCCAATTATGTAAATGCATCTATCCCGACTGAGACAGCTAGAAACACTTGAGTGACGGACTGGAAACTAGGCTGTGACAAAAGCTTTCTGTATCGCCATCTGCTGGAGTTACAGTTTACCCCACTTAAAAATGAAAAGCGTGAGTTTCATCTAGTGAGAGAATTAAAACAATCTATTGGCCAGTGAGATGTTTATTGTCCTTCTTGCTCTGCATTTTGAGTTGTTCTATGATCACTTTTGAATGAGCAGTTTCCTCTTAATACAATTTGGTACCTGACTAAAGACTACCAAGTTATAATTTAAATTTGTAATTAATGCTATCATCTTACAATAAAGTGACAGTTGAAACAAGGTTTTTTCAAATTGTGTAATCTTCTGAAATACTATTTCAACATTTGCCATATGGGTAAAAATTAAAGATGTCATTGAAATGATAATCTTGTTTATAAGACCATTACTATTGGTAAGCTGCTTCTGGCTAACTGACAGGTTATGGACAATTTAAAGCTTCTTAAAATAATGAAAGGGAATATTGTACATCAAGTCATTCCATTTACTTTGTTATAATTTTAGTAATATATCAATGGAAAATATTAAAATTGCTCTTAAGAATCCAGCAGATAGCCCTAGCCGGTTTGGCTCAGTGGATAAAGCGTTGGCCTGTGGACCAAAGGATCCCGGGTTTAATTCCGGTCAAGGGCACATACCCGTTGGTTGCAGACTTCTCCCGGGCCGGGCCCTGGTCAGGGCTCATGCAGGAGACAACCAATCGATGTGTTTCTCTTACATTGATGTTTCTCTCTGTCTTTCCCTCTTTCACTCTTCCTGAAAATCGATGGAAAAATACCCTCGGGTGAGGATTAACAAACAAACAAAAAAAGAATCCAGCAGATAAATCAGAAAGTTCTGCCCTTCTATAGGTTTGTCTGCATTTAATTCTTTCATGTTTACATAAAGTTTTACTTGTACACAATGGGCAACTTACATAATAGGAAATATTTAAAAATATGTATCATGAGTAATTGCTATTTTCTTGACTTCCTATGATTTTAACTTATGTAAAAGTGTTTGGATCAATATTTATCGATGGCTAATATATTCATTTACTCTAGAAATCAGATTGATATAAGGGATTAGACTCGATGCTGTCGGTGAGCTGGTTAAAGCAGTCTCTTATCTTTGTTTCTAATGCAGGATCTTGAAGTTCACAGAACAGACAGTTAAGAAGGGAAGATAGATATAAATTCGGAGAGGGTAGGAAAGTGTGGAAATCACAAGTATACAATGAAACCATCAGTTTTATTACCTCTGACCTTGATGGTAAGATTGTCCTACAAAACCCCAGGCCCTTCATCACACAGACGTAGTCCAAAAGTTGGAGAAGCTGAAGGATGATCCAGGGAAAGATTGGGAAGTTGCAGGCCCGGCTGCAATGAACTGGTGAACCAACAGATGACAACATATATGGGCTACAAAATAGACACCTCACATCCGCCCTCTAAACTTGCTCAAGAATCTCTTGCGGCTCACTCTTACTAGAATATTCAAGAAAGAGAATTTTGGAAAGTATAGTTCAGTCTAACCAAATCGACATGTTATGAACCACCACAACTATCCTGTCAAATGTTAACCTGAATGAGTAAAACTTAAAGCAAAAATTCTAGTCCTAAGAAGTCAATGAAAGCATTTAGTAAAACATGGAGAACAGAAAAGCAACAGGTTGGAAAAGAAATGTCTAGGCTGGCATTGAAAGGAAGTTAGGATTGGAATCCAGCAAGGTGGCGCAGCAGCTGATTGTAGAGAAGCCACTGGAGGAGAGTAACATTTTTTCAACTCAATAAGTTAAGAGTGAAACATAAATAGGAATTATATTTGAGTCCCTAAGTTCTATGCTTAGAAGTTAGATTTTGTTCTGAGGACAGGGAAGCCAATGAAAGTCTCCAGCAGAGAAATGATGACTAGATTCTTGTTTCAGAACAATCAGTACCAACTAGAGGGCGGTTTGGAAAGAGGATGTTGGCTCATTCTAACTAAAGGACATTGAAGACCGTAACTATAGGCCTTAGCAGTGTGGATGGAAAGAAAGGAATTAGTGAGAAATACTAGAGGCAACATTAGTAGGACTTGAGCAGGGAGACTATGGGAGAAGGAATGAATTAAGTTGAGTCACGGTTTACTTGCTTCAGAGAAGAAAAGGCACTGTTTACTGTGATTTGGAATATAAGAGGATGTCTGTTTCAGAAAAGAAAATAGGGCTAAGTATAGAGCCACGAAAGAACATGTGTTAGAGGAAATGCAGAGAAAGAGGATTCTGCAAAAGAGGGAGTCATTGGAGGAAAACCAGGAGAGGGTAGGGCCATGAAGTCAATAGACTGGAGAGTTTCATATAGGAAGAGCCAATTTCTCCAGGAGGTGAAGAGGATTGAAAGCGCCCAGAGCCCAGCCGCCGGCGTTGCTCAGTGGTTAAGCATCAACCAATGAACCTGGAGATTGCAGTTTGATTCTGGTCAGGGCACGTGCCTGGGTTGCAGGCTAGATTCCCAGTGTGGGACGTGCAGGATGCAGCTGATCAATGATTCTCATCATTGATGTTTCAGTCTCTCTCCCTCTCCCTTCCTCTCTGAAATCATTGCCCATAGAGGTAATAGCTTGGAGTCTTTGGTGGCCCTCCTTAGAGTAGCTTTGGTTGAATGGCAGGGACAGAAAATAGGTGATAGTGGTGTTGGAGGATTAGAAGGCAGTGGGGAAATAGATCTATGTAGCATAATTTCCAGAGCACTACTCACCCCAGTAGACGGTAACTATTGGGAGCCACAGGTGGGCTCAGAGGAATGTTGGAAGCTGAGACAGGCTGGAACAAATAATAGCTGTGAAGAAAAGGCCATAGAAGGAAAGACTGAAAAGATTGCAGAGGGATGATAGAAGTCAAGTCCCTGAGTGGGAAGCGATACTCAGATGACAAGTGGAGGAATTGGCCTTCAACAGAAGGTGGACTTCTTCCACTGAAACTAGCAAGGTAAGGGTGGACCTTGAAAGAATGAAGCTTTTCAGTGAGGAAACAGGAAACTCATTCAGCAGTCATTTAGGAAAAGCCCACAGTGTCAGGCACTGCTCAGAACTAGGGTTAGTAGGACAAGTATAGTTTTTGTCCACTGACCTTACAGCGTAGACATTGAACAATATGTGTTCCTAATGTTAAAGCTGGGGCGGGGGTGGGGGAGGTGTGAAAGGAGCTCCATAAGTGAACTTACTGTCGTGTAGGAGATCGTGAAAGGCCGCCTGAGTGATCATCCCCGTTTCTCATGTGGAATCTGCAGCACTAAAGGATCCACTAACTGGCCCTCACCAGTCCTACCTCTTGCCTGAGCCCAAATGTGATATTGTTACTCCTCTTCAGCAGTCTCTCCATTGCCTTTAAGGTCAAGTTTGTTTAGGCTCCCCCCTCACGTAGTCTTGCCCTCCAGCCTTTCTTTCCTCTCCCATTCCCCATCCCCACCCCACCCTCATACCCCACAGCATCCATGAGGGGGGAATATTTGCATTTCCCTGAACGTGACAAAGCATGCCTTTGCTCAGGCTGTCCCTGTCTAGAATGCGCTTCCTCCTAGAAAATGTGACTCCTCTTTCAAGATGCAATTCAAACATCATCTCCACAATGCTTTTCTTAACACCTGCTCTCCCTCCTCACTGGGTAACCTGAGCCCTTTCTCTTTTGGATTCCACTTCACACTGTAGAGATGCCCAACATTGCATCTAAAGCACTCATTACGCTTACGTACTCCAGAACATAGCACTGTGTTTGGGTCGTAGTAGGTGCTCGGTAAATGTCTGATTAATTCATAAATCCTCTAAGTACTGAGTTGCTGCTGTCTCCTCCTCTGGCTCCTCTTCCTCCTCCTGCCCTTTGGTGACATCTTTGATCACAGTCATTGATGTTATCTTCCTCTCCTAAATGCCTCTCAGATGAATTTATATCGCTTCATCGCTCTACTGCTGGTCCAAGCTATTATCCCTCAACTGGGTCATGGAGTAACCCCACAGCCGGGCTTTCCTATCTGTTCTGACTGCTTTCCAAGCTGCTCTCCTTTATTTTCAGGGGTTCTTTCAGACTGCAGGTTTGATTGTGTCACCCTTGTTTAAATGCCTTTAGTATAGATAAACCCGCTTCTCTTAAAATGAAGACAGAAGCTCTGAGGGAACTGGCTCGGCCTCCCTCTTCAGCTTCATCCCCTCCGGCTCCACATCTCACACAGCCTGCATTATGCTTGAAAAACTGCCCTCACATACGTTTGTTTGTTGTTTGCTTGGACTTCCTATCCACCTTTTTGACACAGGGCTTTTGAATTTTAACATTCAGTTCCCTGTGATCTTCTCCCCCCACCCCACCCAGCTCTTGGTCTAGTGAAACTCCAACTCACACCTCAGATTTGGCTTGTGTTTCTCCAGGAAGCCCGCCCTGGTTCCTTGTGTCACAGGCATATACAGCCAGAGGGGCCTTCACAGCCCATGGGATTGCTACCATTCCTCTGTCCTCACAGCCTCCTAGTCTGAGAGTTCCATGAAGGCAGGAAAGGCCGTTTTCTCACCACGGTATCCTCAGAACTTAGGCTCATACATGGCACAAAATAATTGTTCACTGCGGAGTGATGAAAAAATGAATTCTCTCAGCCACTGAGATTCAAAAACTTGGCGTAGTCATTGACTCATCCTGCTGTTTCATTCCCGGATCCATGTCCCAAGTCTTATAACTTCCCATCTTATAGCAGGTTTCCAGTGGGTTCTGCTCGTGCCTTTATTAAATACCTAAAATACTGCTCAACTCTCCTGGTTTATTTCCTCCTCTCTTCCTCTTCCCACACTTTATCCTGTGTGATGTGGTAGAACCTTCCTTAAAGGCCATGTTTATTATATCCCAATTCAAAAACCATTCATGGTTCCTTATTAACACTTAATATTTCTTGCTTGGATGGAAAGACCTCCACAATCTGGCTGAAGTCCATCTTTGGAACTGTTTTTTACTTCCCACCCTTAACCCAGACTGATATCTTAGAAATCCATCACTGGGCCTGAGGCACTCCTCACACTGTTTCTCCCTCCTCCCTCCATTCAAACCCCACCTGTGCCCCAGGCCCAGCCCCAAGTGTGGGCATATAGCCTAGCGCCTGTGGACTGTGGTTCACAGCCACATGCAGCTCTTTGGCCCTTTGAGTGTGGCTCTTCCACAAAATACCACATGCGGGCGCGCGTACAGTGCGATTGAAACTTTGTGGCCCATGCGCAGAAGTCGGTTTTCGGCCTGGGAAAGTCTATTTTGAAGAAGTACTGTTGATATTTGGCTCTGTTGACTAATGAGTTTGCCGACCACTGGCCCTAGCCTGACTCCCAGCTCTGTTAGCTCTTTCCTCATTGAGTTCCCCTACCCTTTGGCCTCCCAGACCTCGCTGCCTGGCCACATCTGTCCTGTCCTCTGGTTCTCACCCTACTTGCCTACTCCTTGCACAGGCCTTCCGATCACCCATGCTCTCTGAAGACATCCTCTCATTTACTCGCGAGCATGGCATTCTGCTGCTTTTCTTCATGGCCCTTAACTCACCCTAGGATGATCCCTTCACCCATTTAGCACATGTTCCAATCAGATGGTAGCTCCATGAGGAACTTCTCTGCCTTGCTCTCAGAATTACCCACCACACCCAGCCCACTGTACGACCCATCATAATTACTTACTGAGTATATTTATTGATGCTGTTTTATGAATGGATGTTTATAAATGATTTGCCTTCTCTTTGAAGGGCTCTCCGTGCTCTTAACACACAGTCTGCACAGGGGGCACTTAACTCTAACATGATAGCTCAGTTTCTTTTATTGGTTAGAATAAATGACACAGTGAGATGCTTGCTGACAGTGGTCATGTCATACTGCTGTGACCCCCATAGTATCCGCCATGTGGTTGCTCCACGTGTCCTTAATTAGAAATAAACTTGTCTTATCCCTTGTGCTCTGACATTCAAGTGTCCAAAGATACAAAAGACGTTTTCTGCTTATGGGATAAAAAATACAAAATACAGTGTTGGCCTCAAAGAGGAAGTCTGTCCTCAGGTTTAGTTGATTTGCAAGACCAAGCTTGACAGTGGCGTCATTTCGTCATTTCTGAAAAAATAGGAGTAGCCACGGAAGCAAAAGTTCAGTTTTAGACGGGGCATTTCGTGACTGGACTTTTCCTTTCAAGGTAAATGCGTTTATCCCAAGTTTTTATTCTACACAGAATAATTGCTCACCCAAGAAAAATGTCCTCTCATTGTTAATGGTTTCTATCATTTCTTTTTCTTTCCAACTTTATTTGGTGGGGGAAGGGTTATATTTGAATGTCTGCATTGAGTTGGTTAATGTAATGGCAATCTGGAAGATTCTGGTGCCTGACAAGATGTGAAAAGGTATGTATGGCATCGTTTCTATTTTCATTCATGCTTCTGTGAATATGTGAGTGTTTTTAAAGGGACATGTGTTTGTTTTTTTTCTCAACCTGGATCTGTAAGTGACTGTGGCCCTGTGGTTTTGTGTGATGTTTGGTCTTTCAGGGTCGGATGGCCCATCTTTTTGTCCAGGTGGCTGTGGTAACATTTCTTTGGGGCAGTTGCAGATTCAGAGCCACTGATGTAAAAGGTTACGATTGTACAGAAACTTGCCATGCTCTTCTCTTCCTTTCCCAGGGGTAAGGTCTAGTATAAGTTCATAGGATTAGTTCATACTCTGTTTACTGAGCATAAACATGTATTTCAATATATTTAAAATGCTATCTAAATATTTTATCGTGCTTGACAAAGAACATCATTGACTTTTAATGAAAACAGGAACAAAAAAAGTGCTAGGAAGGTAGTTTCCACTGCTGATTCTGCTGTTTGTGGAAAGCATCCGGTTCTCCCAGCTCAGAGTTCTCTCACCCAGTTTCCCTGTGGCCTTTCTCACTGTTCTACATGCACGATCTAAAAACATCTGGTCGGATTGTGAGGTACTTGATAGAATGTTACTGTTGCTACTCGTCCCTGGCAGTGAGGTCCTGCTTCCAGCCCTCCCCCATGCCCCAGACCTTGGAAATGGATTCACTTTTGGGAGCTGAACAAATAACTAGTGGCATTTGTTGTCTAAATTACCTTAAAACACAATAGATATACCAAAGCCAAAAATACTTAGCATGGGTTTACTTAAATATGAAATAAAATTGTGGCCTCCTAGAACTCTTTTATTATAAAATAATAACATGTAAATAATAAACAGGGAACTGGTTAAACAAGCTATAATACACAGCTGTAACAGATCTATCACCATGAAAAATACTAGGAGAAAGTTTGTAATGGCATGGGAGAATGTCTATGATAAAAAGCTTAGTTTGTGGGTGTTTTTTTAAAGGATATATGAAGAAATATCTCAACTAGCCTTTTAAAACATGCATGGCAAATACTCTGATCTCACTTATAGTGGGATCTTTAAAAATCAAACTCATAGACACAGAGAACAGATGCCAGAGACAGAAGGGGGTGTGGGGAAAATTGGTGAAGATGGTCAAAGGTACAGACTTCCAGTTATAAGATAAATAAGATCTGGGAACAGCATGGTGATTATCTTAAATAATAAAAGGCTAATATGCAAATCGACCAAATGGTGGAACGACTGGTTGCTATGATGCGCACTGACCACTAGTGGGCAGACACAATGCAGGAGCCAGGCTTACGGCTGGTGAGCGCAATAGTGGTGGCAGGAGCCTCTCCTGCCTCCACAGCAGTGCTAAGGATGTCCGGGGGAGCCGGCCAAAGCCCTCAGTCGGATATCCCCCGAGGGCTCCCAGACTGTGAGGGGGCATAGACCAGGCTGAGGGACCAACCCTCCTCCTCCGCCCCGAGTGCACAAATCTTGTGCACCAGACCTCTAGTAGTTAATAATACTGTATTGCACATTTTAAAATTGCTAAGAGAGTAGATCTTAAACATTTTTATCATAAAAATGTAACTGTGAGATGATAGATGTTAACTAAACTCATTGTAATCATTTTGCAATATATATATATATCAAATCATTAATTGGTATACCTGAAACTAATACAATGATATTTCAATTATATCTCAATAAAACTGGAAAAAAGTGAAAAACTACATTTAGAATTTATGGAATACAAAAAAAAGGAAATACCCTAAAATATTAAACTATGGGTAGTAAGAGTTTAGATGACTTCTGCTTTTTGGTGCTTTATACTTTTTGGTACAAATACATAAAAAATAGAGGGAAAATATAGAAAGCTTGATATATAACAAATAGAACCATAGCCTAGGTGAGAATGTTTTCACTCAAAAAGACAATATGTGAACAGAATATAAGTGTCTGATAGAACCTAGAGGAAGGACCTCCAGCAACAAAAATTTGTAAAAGTTCAATCAATACTGCATGGGAGAGGGAGGCAGATGCATCAGACCTAGAGGATACTCAGTTCAAAATATCCTTTCATCTCCCATCCTACTTCAATTCAATGCTTACCAAGCAAAATTATGGTTTTTATTGGCTTTCTTACATGTTCTGATAAGTGCTGCTCGTTATACCAACATGCTCCTTATTTCAGTTTATACGTCACTCTCCTCTGAGTTGGTTGGTGGAAGTTCTTGTGTAACCAGTCAGTTCTAGGTGCCCTGATAAGATCAAATTCCTGGACCTGCAAAGCTGAGGACGGACTGCGGAGCTGTGGCAACCACACCACATAAAGTCTGTGACCACTGATCTCACTAGAACACTCGTCACGACCTGCCTCTCCTTGTTACTGCTCCTATGTCGAGGTCCCGGTTGACCCGTCCACTGCCTCTTCTTTCCAGGCTCTCTCAGAGGTTCCTTCTTTATTTCAGGGGAAGACAGAATGGGAGGAGGTTCATCCAAAAACGATCCCAACACTGGTAAGTTCAGGACAGAAACCGTTACCTGCCTTACTGCCTGGTTAAGTGAACTGGAATAATTGGGAGGTGCGCTTGAGGGCTGTAATGGGACAACGTTTCTGAGGTTGGAAGGATCAGAATTCACCATGATGCAGTCATACCAGGGAGAGTGAGACGGGGAATCTGAGGGAACTGTCTGGTCCTCTAGATTGGAGTACAGGGTGTCTCTCTGCTTGGGATTAGACCAGCTGGGTAGTTTGTGGGAATCTAGTTGACTTCCCTCACTACCCACCCCATTTGTGGTGTAGGGATTGGGAACACTCACCGTGGCTGCCTTTGGCTTCACTGCAAACAAATGAAAAAACAAAAAAAAAAAGGCAGTGGGTGCCAAGGTCAGATTCCCAAGGACCTTGGGAAACACTAGTTCTAGGATCTCTGCTTAAATCTGGGAAGCACAGGCGGTGTTTTTGTTTATCAAAGGGAGCTATGGGTTTATCTAAGGGACATACGCTAGGCTTTTCATTCATTTGTGTAGCTGATGGTTTTTTAAGTTCCAGTTCTAATTTCCATGTTAAAGTACTCAGGACCTAAGGCAGGATGTTCTCTCCATTTGCGGAGTTGTAGTCCCTGTCATTAATCTCCACTGGTTACTTGGGTAGGGCGGGGCACCTGGGGGCATGTAAGCCTAGGTGAGGATCAGTGGCAGATACATTAACCCCCTTTATGTTCTCTCATTGACAAAGGAGTCCACACCACAACAGCTCCAAGAATTACCCCTGCACCCTGCCCTTCCGAGTAAGTGAGCATTCTCCCACCCACTTCCTCTTCTACTACATGGCGCTTGATTTTGTGTTGACAGCTTTGCGTTATGGGCTTGGGACGGGACATCTGAGGAGAAGGGGCCAGAGACAATAGAAAAACTAAATCCATTTTTTATCCTCTTACCTAGGGACCCCCCCAAGCCTCGAGAGATCCGTGAATCCTTTAAGTTTATAAATAAAATTTGTTATGTGGGGCCACCTATGAACATTTTTTAAAATTACAGTTGACATAGCATATTCTGTTAGTTTTAGGTGTACAACATGATTCGACATGTGTATAACTTACAACATACCCTGTCAATCCCCCCTCCCGTCTGGTAACTGTCGATTTTTTCTCTGTATCTATGAGTTTGTTTTTGTTTTGTTTTATTTTGCTTTTTAGATTCCACATATAAGTGAAATCATGCTATTTTTTTCTCTCTGATTTATTTCACTTAGCATAATACCTTCTAGATTCATCCATGTGGTCACAAATGGCAAGATTTCATTCTTTTTTATGGCTAATATTCCAAGATATATATCACATCTTCTTTATTCATTTGTCTATTGATGGACACTTAGGTTGTTTCCATATCTTGGCTATTGTAAATAATGCTGCAGTGAACATAGGGGTACATATGTCTTTATAATTAGTGTTTTGGATTCCTTCAAATTCTACCTAAAAGTAGAATCACTGGGTCATAAGGCAATTCCATTTCTTATTTCTTTAGGAACCTCCATACTGTTTTGCATATGGCTGCACCAATTTACAACCCCACCAACAGTGCACAAGAGTTCCCTTTTCTCCACATCCTCGCCAACACTTAATTTATTGATTTATTGATGATAGCCATTCTGACAGGTGTGAGGTGATATCTCAGTGTGGTTTTAATTTGCATTTCCCTGGTGTTGAGTATACTTTCATGTCTATTGGCCATCTGTATGTCCTCTTTGGAGAAATGTCTACTCAGGTCCTCTGCCCATTTTTTATCGGTTTATTTTCTTGGTGTTGTTATATGAGTTGCTTATATATTTTGGATATTATTGAATGCATCATTGGCAAATATCTTCTTCCATTCAGAAGGTTGTCTTTTTGCTTTTATTTTTGATGGTTTCCTTCACTGTGCAAAAACTTTTTAGTTTGATGTAGTCTGGTTTTGCTGTTGTTGCTGTTTCCCTTGCCCAAGAAGAGACATCCAAAAAGGTATTATTACCAAGAGCAATGTCAGAGAGTTTATTGCCTATGTTTTCTTTTAGGAGTTTTATGATTTCAGGTCTTTAAGTATTTAATCCATTTTTTGTTTATTATTGTATATGGTGGTCCAGTTTCATTCTTTTGCATGTGTCTGTCCAGTTTTCCTAACACTGTTTATTGAAGAGATTGTCTTTACCCAACTGTATATTCTTTCCTCCTTTGTCAGAGATTAATTGACCACGTAGGCATTGTTTGGTCCGCACCGAAAGGAGGCGGACCAAAACTGTTGTGAGGGTTTAAGAAATTTTATTACATTCTCTCACCGCTGGCTGAGACCAGTGTGTCAGCGTCAGCCCCGAGGGGGTGGTTATGTTCTCTTATATATGGTAGAAGTATGCAAAAATAGGGTCAGGATATGGGTGCACAAGTTGGTCAAGCAGTGGGGAGGGCAGGAGTTGGTCAAGGGAGGAGAGTGCACAGGTCAGTAGGAGGGAGAGGACTTCTTATCTTGCTTCTGCAGGCACCAGCCCTCTGCCCCAAGCTATGGGGAAAGGCTTATAATAATACATATTTCAGAAAACATGTCCAAGTAGGAGAGATTAAGGGTAGTTCATCCTAATTGGCATGGGCTTATTTCTGGGTACTCTATTCTGCTCCATTGATCTGTGTGTCTCTTTTGATGCTAGTATCATGCTGTTTTAATTACTATAGCCTTGTGGTATAGTTTGATATTAGCGTGATACCTCTAACTGTGTTCTTCTTTCTCAAGATGGCTTTGGCTATTCAGGGTCTTTTATGGTTCCATATAAATTTTAGGATTATTTGTTCTAGTTATGTGAAAAATGCTGCTGATAGTTTTATAGAGATTGCATTAAAATCCGTAGATTGCTTTAGGTAGCATGGGCATTTTAACAATGCTAATGCTTCCTGTACACGAGTACAGTATATATAGCCTTTCATTATTTGTGTCTTCTTCAGTTGCTTGCTTCAATGTCTTATAGTTTTTGAGTATAGGTCTTTTGCCTCCTTAGTTGAAGTTATTCCTAGGTATTTCATTCTTGCTGATGCAATTGTAAATGGGATTGTTTTCTTAATTTCTCTTTCTGATAGTTTGTTATTGATGTATTAAAAATGCAGCCAATTTCTGGTTATTAATTTTGTATCCTGCTATTTACTGAGTTCATTTATTCTAATAGCTTTTGGGTGGACTTTTTAGGGTTCTCTATATGTATAGTATCATGTCATCTGCAAATAAAGACACTTTTACTTCTTCCTTTCCAATTCAGATGCCTTTTATTTCTTTTTCTTGTCTGATTGTTGTGGCTAGGACTTCCAATGCTATGTTAAATGAAACTGATGAAAGTGGATGTTCTTGTCTTGTTTCTGATCTTAGAGAAAAAGCTTTTAGCTTTCTCCATGGAGTATGATGTTAGTTGTGGGTTTGTCATATATGGCCTTTATGATGTTGAAGTATGTTCCCTCTATCCTCACTTTGCTAAGAGTATTTATCATAAATGAATGTTGGATTTTGTCCAATGCTTTTTCTGCATCTATCTGATATAATCATATGATTTTTTTTTCATTTTGTTTCTGTGGTGTGTTACATTAATTAATTTGTGTATATTGAACCAGCCTTGCATCCCAGGAATAAATCCCACTTGACCATAATATATGATCTTTTTAATGTATTGCTGAATTCGGTTTACTAATATTTTGTTGAGGATTTTTACATCTTTGTTCATGGCCTATAGTATAGTTTTCTTTTCTTTTTTTTGGGGGGGGGGCGGGGGAGGTAGTGTCTTTGTCTGGTTTTGGTACCAGGGTAATGGTGGCCTTATAAAATGAGTTTGGGAGCTTTTTCTCCTCTTCAATTTTTTGGAATAGTTTTAGAACTATGATTATTTTTTGAGGGAAAGAGAGTTCACAGCTTTCATTGAGGCTTTCAAATGGATCTGAAACCCAAAACCAAAAAGTTGAAAAGCAGTGGGAAGCGTGAAAGCTATTTTAGAGGCTTACCATAGAAGGAAAAGGTTACACACTGATCTTTAAAGGACCTTCAAAAAGCCCAGAAGGTCATCTGCTCCCTCTTTTTGCCACAACAGCAAAGAACTTCATTTGGCCTTAGCCTTTCTTGCTGGAAGTCTACTGACATTGCTGCTGGTGGCCCTTGTCTTCTTCATCATAAAGAGCTACAGAAAATGTGAGTGGCCTCCGAGAGATGGGGCAGCAGTTCTTTCTCTGCTGTTGAGAATAGAGTTAGCCTTGAATGGCTAATGGAAAGAAGGGGATAAAACCTGCTCAGCCCACCTTCTCGGCAGACCACAGATTTGAATTCCTCCACTTCTCAGCTGCCCTCCAGACCCTCCACCTTTCCCACCCGCACCACCTCCCTCCCAGCCCACCCCTTCACCCAAGACCAAAGGGAGAGGCTTCTAATTCCTCCAGACCCCATTGGTGAGATTTGTCCCCTTTTTTCCTGGCACTTATGGCAGATCACTCAAGTCCCCACGCTCTGGATCCTCACTCAGATTCTCTTGCCAAGGTAAGATGACCACGCTGTTTCCATGACACTGGAGACCTGCTGCCATTGGAATGTCCCTCTATGCTCTATGGCTTATCCACTAAACAGTAGTATTGCTTTCTGGATGCTGGGCAGTGATTCTTTGAAGGGTTCTTCTGGTCTTTTTGGGTCTTCTCTGACTGAAGCTTTCAAGTTGCTTCTGAAGAGACACATTCCTCCAAATTGAACTCGCTCATTCCTCCTCCTCCTTCCTCTGTAGTTGTCATCCAACCCGGAGGAGGCACTTACCTCTGCCAGCATGGCTCTCAAAACCTCAAAAGAAAAGAGAGACGACTTGATTGCAAACCATTCTGCAGACTCGAACTCCGTTATCTATGCTCAGATTAAATTGGCAGACTCATCCTGAGTTTCCAATAAGGCTTGAATCCAGTTCCTCTCACGCCAGCTGCATCTTCATACATCGCTTTTCCTTTGTAGAAAATTTGGACCACAATCTGGGTGAAACTGCAGATGGAGTTGTTTGGGTGTGATCTGGCAACCTTGGCTATCAGTTTTGTGACCAGGGTCAGTCTTATTCCTGTATCTCCCACTTGGACTAATAAAATGGAATTCCCCGGAGAACCGCGACTGCCCCCCTTCGTCCTCTTCCAAAGTGTGAGCTACAAGCTCAGTGCACCAAGAGTGTTCACTCAGTGTCACTGATCAACTTGGGAAGAGTCAACCAACCCAACAATCTAACAAGAATTACAAATAAAAGCAAACCCTCTGTGATGTTGGCTCCTTCTTCATCATGTGTCCCTGTTACCTCCAGATATCAGGGCCAAAAGATCTCCAAGTGATGTTAAAGGAAAAGGCACGCAGTTGAACACAATTCTGCATATTCTTGATTCATGTGGAAAATACCTGTGTGTGTGTGTGTGTGTGTGTGTGTGTGTGCGTGCGCGCGCACACCTGTGTTTGTATACTATATTCAGGGTATCCCAAAAAAACGTATACTCACTTCAGTAGCTGATAGCTCACTTTTGAAAATGAAATATTTTAATGAACACTGCCTTTATAATTATTCAAAGTGTGTATATGCATTTTTTGGGACATCCGATATTTAGTTTGTCCCCAGAAGGAAACACTGTTAACTGGTCTTAGTGATCACCCCTGATAACTGAGGGACTGAGGGGTGGCATGGAAGGACATAGGCTTTCCCTTAAATGCCTTTTGTAACTTTTCAAAAAATATATTTGTATTGATTTCAGAGAGGAAGGGAGAGGGAGAGAGAGATAGAAACATCAATGATGAGAGAGATCATTGATTGGCTGCCTCCTGCCTGCCCCCCCACTGGGGGTCGAGTCACAACCTGGGCATGTGTCCTTACCTGGTATTGAACCCGGGAGCCTTCCATCCACAGGCTGACGCTCTATCCACTGAGCCAAACCCGCTAGGGCCTTTTGTAACTTTTAACATTCTTCCTTTACCTGTTGAGCATCTTCAGGGGCCTGATACCTAGCGCTCATTTCCCCACCTGAACTCTGAACAACTGAGAGAGAAGAGGACTCGGGCAGACAGAGAACAAAGTACTATCTTTATGACAGAGTCCACACTGGAAAGGACAGCGTGTCCTGGAGCTGCAGACAGTGGGCTTCAGACCAATGAGCCCTGTGGGGATAGAGCTGCACCGAGGCAGGTCCCTCCCACCCAAACCGGTGCCGGCTAACCCCATGAGCTTCAGGTCACGTGCTCTTTGTAAGCTGCACCCAAAGATTAAAAAAGAAAGAGGAAGCACAGAGTAGGTACGCCCAGTTCTGCCTCCAGTTTCCCACACTGTGCCTCCAAAGGGGCGTCGCTGTGGGGTGTCACCCCAATGGGGCTCAGTGTACAGGGAAGGAAGCAGGAGTGGGGAGTGGGGAGCCTCCTCCACAAACCTCTTTTAAAAATATGTCAAATAATGTTTTTAAAAATCAATGTAAGAAAATTAAAGTTCATAGAGCTGACATAATCTACCCAACGTGTGGCAGAGCAAAATGGAAACCAGATCCTCTGACTTCTGATTCCTGCATCTGGCCTGCACTGCCCGCTGCCCCAGCACGAAGAGGGGCAGAGAAACCAGACAGGTAAGGGGGCAGGCCACATGGGCAGGAGAGCGTGATTTTTCTGAGACAGAGCAGCTGCTCCTGACAGCTGGCTTTTGAGGAGACAGTGGAATTGGGGTTTGATCGAGGAGTGGGCTTTTGAGGAGACAATGGAATTGGGGTTTGATCGAGGGAGCTGATAGGTCCAGGAGAAAGTGACACGTTAGGGATGCAGGCTTGCGAAGAGGCCTGGGCACATCAGAGCAGGCAGCCCCACGAGGGCAGCAGAGCGCCACCAGTTCTCCTCCCCCCAACAAGGAGGCCTCATTCACTTCCTTTACTTTTTTTTAAAGATTAACTTTTTACTTCTCTTTTTATTTTTTTATTTTATTTTATTTTTTTCTGTACATCAGGTTATTTATTCACTTGATTCTTAGATTCATTTGTTGATAGATGCATATTTGTTGTTCATAATTTGTATCTTTACCTTTTTCTTCTTCCTCCTCTTCTTAAAAAAACTTACTTCTCTTTTTAAAAATTTTTTTTTTATTAATTTCAGAGAAGGAGGGAGGAAGGGAGGGAGGAAGACACCAATAATGAGAGAATCATTGAATGGCTTCCTCCTGCACGCTGGGATCAAGCCCACAATCGGGGCATGTGCCCTGACCGGGATCAAACCATGACCTCCTGGCTCATGGGTTGACGCTCAGCCACTGAGCCACACCACCACTGAGCCACGGCGGCTGGGCCTCATTCATTTTCAAAGGTTCCCAAACTCTAGGAGGACATCAAACAATTCTACCCACCCCAAAGCTAGAAGCCACATCAGCTTCTCGGTTCAGAGCCAGTTCCTTAGCCACGTGTATGTGAAATATCAGATTCATTGTTTTCATGAAGCTTCCCATTTTTAACAGCAGAGCTCTGTTTTCAAAGTCTTGTGTGTTTTTTTGTCTCACTGTCACGAAGAGTGATGTACAACTAGCCTTGCTGGAGAGTGAGATGAGTGAGTGAATAACTGACTGTTGATTGGGAATCTTTGCAGGTGAAGGAAGAAACGAGGCCCTGGATCATGGAAGCAGATAAGCCTGTAGGGCCCTCAGGGAGGTACGTGTAACTCTCCCAAGACATCTAGAGTGGCTTCATCTTTCGTGGAAGGTGGTTGTCTGCTCTCTTGCCTGCTGTCGTAGGCAGTCCTCACTGAGCCCAGACTGGATTGCTGTTTGTAGTGGCTCCTCTAGTGAGTTCGGTGCATGGCCACAGGGGAGGGATCGGGCTGGTTTGTGGCTGAGGGATAAGACAGTACTTTGATGTTGGATCTGAGAATCTGGAAGGAAGGGGGACTGGCTGTATGGAAACAGGGAAGATGTAGGAACGGGGTGACATCCACACGCCCTCCCCTTTTCTTCAGGCTGTTGACTGGCTTTGAGTTCCTTCCCTATGGAGAGAGGGATTTTTTCGGATGATGATGAAGGAACTGTGTTCATAGAGGACTTGGGAGAGCCTGGACCTGAAGGTGCAGGGTGTGTGCAGAATCGAGCCAACCTCCCTGTCCTAGCCCTGCTCAGGCCAAAGGGCCACTTGAGTATCCTGAGCACTGAGACTGGCCAGCACCCTATTGGAAGAGACCAGAAGAGCAGGGTTTTTATGAGGACAGAAGAAGCAGTATGGGGAGACCCTGGGAACTCCCTGAAATAGCAGGAGAGACACTACATGGGGAGAGAGGGTGCAGACACGCAGGTGGGAGCTAAGAGAGGTGGGTGCAGACATGCTGGTGGGAGCCAATTCGGTAATTCGGGTGTTAATGACAATATAACCTCACTTGCACCTACAGTGGCTGATGCCTCTGCCTTGACTTGTGTTCCTGATTTGAATGAATATCTCATTTAAGCTTTTGCATTTTGGTTTCTCATTGACCCAAACCAGCATCCATTCAGTCTTCAAAGAGCAGTTTCCCGTACAGTCTTTCACTAAGAGAATCTGAACACCAAGGATTTAGCCTATCTCTCTCCCTTTCTTTGGGTAGGACAGCACGTAATATTAATTCAGGAATTAATTGGAATATTATACTTGAAAAGAAACTTCCAGAAATATTTTTCCCGTGACACCCCAGGAGAAGTCATACTTTGGAGTTCATTCAACACTGGTTAGAAATTTATTGGCTCACAGATAAAATACAAGTGATCTCCTGGGCCCCCGACTGAGGTTCTGCCCCTCCTCTTCGCTTCCAGCCGGCTCAATGCATGAGAACCAAGATCTCGAGGTGTTCTCTGACTAGCCTTGCGCAGGCGTGGCCACTGTTCTTACCTAGCTGTAGATGTGGCTGGTTGTCATGGTGATTCTATTGGAGCATCACTTTGCTTAGGAGCTAAATAAATCTTAAGTCACATCTGTCCAGTTTGAGCCAGTTCCTTTGAAGTCTGGACACACGAGGTGGGGCTTCAAAGAGTTTACTTTGTTGGAAACAAAAGGAAGAATGGAGTTGAGATCTACTGCCTACCCAGGCCGAGTGTTTCTTCAGCCAAAGTTACCAACTCTCTCATGAGGGCTTCCTGGGGACTGAACAGCAGTTTGTTTGCAGGGCTGAAATCAGCTGGTTATTACTTGGGAAGGAAAGGTGGACAGGTCCACATAGCCTGCCCTGCATGGAGCTCCTGCTCTCTGGTTAGGAACGGGGAGCCCTAAAGATTGGGTAGTTGTGGGGCACAGAGCTCAGGCAGAAGAGCCAAGGAGGGAACCTACCAGAGGTGTGGCGAACGCAGAAGCCGCTTGCCTGGTTTTCTGGCTTCGAGTTAGGCCTTTACCTGTAATCGCCCGAAGGCAGAAGGCTTCAAGGCCACGCCTCTCATGACCCGGTCTAGGGTTGAGGCTGGTGGGCCCATCCTCTTCCACTCCTGACCCTTCTCAAGGTGACCTTTCTATGCCCCCTCACCTGGGGGCCCCCTTTGACAGGAGGCATGGCTTCTAGTCCCTCCAGGGGGAACAAAACGTTTCAATCAAGGAGTAAGGCTGCCTCCCAAAGCTTGTGTGCTGGGCAGGCGGGTGGCCCCCAGTCCTGGAAGCTGTGCTGTGGTTGTCTCAGGGCCTCCCTCCTCCCTGGTCCACACACCTCCGCTTACGAGGGGGACAGTGCTGTCTCTGTCACATCTCATGGTGCCTTTGTCACCGGGAAGCAGAACCTCCCTGAGCCCCTGGCTGTCTGCATTGGCTTCCAGGGGTCCAGGCAGTAAGAGGTCACATTTACCCATTTGAAAGCTGCTTCTTGATCCCTTTTATTTTCCCTACACTGCCCCCCCCCCCCCCCGGCCACCAACCACTGCTTACTTCTTCTGTTTCTTTGAATCCTCCTCCTTTTGAACAAGTGAGTCATTAGAGAAATGATCCCTACCCCTGTGATCAGTACGCAGGGGATGAGAATGGACATCCTGGAAGGAACCACAGACAGTTTTATGTCCCTCGGAAGAGACCACCTTTCGACTCTCTGCTCAGGATCCCCTTGTCTGAAAACAGTCCCCTCGGCCCTGTTCCTGCCCTGGCCAGTTCCAGCAGCTCCTGCCAAGCGTATGCCTTCCGAGTGGCCCCCACCCTCCAGACCCCACTTGATTGCACCCAGGATGGGTAGGTGTCTGCGCTGGGCTGAGTCCCTTCCTCAGAAACTAACCTGGGACCTTGGAGAAGAAGAATCCAGTCCAAGACTAGCTAGGCCTCTGAAGGGGAGACAAGAACTCAGGAGCTAGACATGGGTATCTATCTTCTCCCAGGGCAAAATGAAGACTAGAGGGCGGGACGGGGGAGGCAAACACACACAAGAGCAGCCAATGGGAGACGGAGATGAAGTCCCGCTGACTGAGGGCGGCCACATCCTGCCCTTGCATTTAGCAGACACCGCTCTCTCCTCCTTTTAAATGAAAACAGCAACAGGGCATCCTGTGACCAAGAGCCCTAAACTATATCCTTTTGGAAGGAACCATATGGTCCCATTGGAGAGACCTCGTTGAGGTGGAGAAACAATATGAAGCTGAAAGTGGCAGGTGTGAGTCAATGGTCATGTCTGCTCACCTGTAGTGATCTGCCTTGTACACAGGTTTGGAAGCCCTGCAGCTTCTGTTCATGTTCCCTGACGCATCTGCATCAGAAAGGATTTGCTAAGAGCCAAGCAAGGCCCATTCCCAAGCCCACCCTTTGCCTCTACATCTCTCTCTGGCACCCCTTCAATCTCCACAGCGTGAATGATGGCTGGGTCACGCAGAGGCACCACGCGCAGCGGCATGAAAGGTACCCTGCAAGGAGTGAGGTCGAGGGAACAAGACACTGCACTCTGCTCGCTGAGCCACCCCTGTAGGGCACCCCCACATAGACCCCTGGCATGCCCCTTACCCTTCACAGACCAAAAGTCACTGGTGTGGGCTCCTCTGTAGTCAGTCACGACCAGCTCGGTGAAGTCCATGTCATCCCGGGCAAAGTCCCGCTGGATGCCGCACCAGTACCAGCCCGCGTCCTCTTTGGTCAGGCAGGACACAGTGACGATGAGCTGCTCCCCCGTGTCCCTCAGGGCCACGCGGCCCGTGCTGTTGGGTGTGAAGGCGATGATGTTGCAGTAGTCCCGGTAGTAGCCTCGGCACCAGTACTTGAGATGGTCCTTGTAGTGGGCGCCGTAGCTGCAGACAGCAGACACTGTGTCCAGCACAAAGCTCTCCTTGACCTTTTTGTCCATGACCATGGCTTCTGTCAAAAAAAAAAAAACACACAGGGAGGCAGGAGAGGAAAGGGGGGACCAACAGTGATGGGGAGACTTGGCTCAGAGTGGTGGACACACACTACAGTGATGATGTATTATAGAGCTGTACCCCTGAAACCTACATAATTTTATTAACTAATGTCACCCCAATAAGTGCAATAAAAATAAAAAACACTACACACACATGTACGGAAACACCAGTGTTCTTTTAACGGGTTGCAGCTCCTGCCCTCATTGAGGAAAATTAATGAAAACATTGGAGGCTGATTTTTGCCTGATTGGGTTGGCAACTGTTATGGGCTGAGTTGTGATCCCTAAAACTCATACATTGAAGTGCTACCCCTGTCCCTCAGAATGTGACTGTATTTGGAGATAGGACCTTTAAGTAGGCAATTACATTGAAATGGGGTTGTTAGAATGGGCCCTAGTCCAACATAACTGTTGTCCTTAAAAAAGGAGATTAGGACAGGTGGCAGAGGGAATGACCATGTGAGGACACAGCGAGAAGGCGGCCCTCTGCAAACCAAGGAGAGAGGCCTCAGGAGAAGCCAAGCCTGCCAACACCTTGACCTTGCGCTTCTAGCCTCCATGACTACATGGGAATAAATCTCTTGTCAAAGCCACCCGGTCTGTGATGCCTGTTACAGCAGGCCTAGCAAATGCCTAGCAAATGAACACAGCAGCCCTGGAGAAGCCTTCCTCCCACGCTTCTGGGCTGGTAAAATATGGACCCCCGTCTGCAAGAACTGAGGAGGCCGATCAACATTGCTTGACGGAAGGCTTGAAGAGCCTGAGGCTTACTGTTCATAGATCCTCTGCCCCCAGCCACACTCCCCCACAGACCACCTCGGACTCTCAAAAAAAAAAAAGAGAGAAGGTTTGGGGGTTTAAGTTGACTGTATGGAGCTGTTCTTAGAGACCAAGAACAACTTATTTCCTCCCTACAAGACCTCGATATTGCATAATGAGGAAGTTGTGCACACCACGTCCAGCTTGACCGTGGCTGGGGAAGTGTCCAACCAAGCAGAAGAAATGGGGGCAGCAACCTGTCCATGTCAGCCTCCAGATATGTGCTGGGCTCCCCTCAAATGCCACCTCCAGTGTGGCTCACGGTGAGCGGGACCACCCTGCAAAGCAGGCTCATGTCCTTGGTACCAATGGGTATCATTTGGTATTTTGTTCTCATATCAACCTCACAAGGAAGATCATGTGATGCTCAGTTTACAGGCAGGGGCGCTGACCCAGAGAGACCCCAGCAACTCTCCAAGGTCACATGGCTGGAGCAACAGAGCCAGGGCCAGCCCAGTCCTCGGAGTCTTGTCTTTGGCGTCAAGAATGGGCAGAAAGGGGAAAGTCTTACCATCATCTGTCTGCACAAACATTTTTGAAGGGGAGACGGGGGAAGGGAAGGGGAACTTAAACTGAGAGAGAGAATGCAGGGCCCTCATTTTAGCCGAGTGTTTCAAACCCCCCACAGCCCTCTAATCAGAGCTAAGAACAAGAACTATTTTGGACAAGATCTATTTTCACCTCCTATTTCCCCACCCCACTCCTTCGGCAGTTGGCGCTAGTAAGTAGGAGAGGAGATGGTACTGGAAGGTCCCTGGGAAGTTGGGGAAGCTGGTGACATTTCTTCCCATGTCTTACCTGAAAGGACAGTCAGGGAGAGCAGGACGAAGAGCCCCATGGCTGGACGGAAATGAGGGATCTCAGCAATCCTGGATCTGTTTAAGAGAAACAGGTATCTATTGCTCAAGGTGGTTTTATCCTGTTTGGAGAAACCAGGGGAGCGGGAACGACTGGCTAATCCAGGCACTGCTGCCATGTTCAGGTGTCCAGGTTGTGCATGGCACGAGGGTACCTCATCGGAGGAATGCCATTCATGGACGTGAATGTAAAGAATAAAGTGGGGCAACTGAGAAAATTCTGAGCTTCCAGGCAGAGCCCCAAGCAGGAATGGAGATCCCCATCCTGGATGAACCCACCCGGACACAATCAGAGGAGCACATGGGCACACGGTGGCTGGCACGTGCTCGTGTGTGCAGCTGTGCCTCGCCCTGGCAAGGCTCTGAGTATCCCAGAGGCCTCTCCTCGGGTCCATCCCCCACTCATGGAGGCCCAAGTCCTCTTTAGCGCAGAGGAAGACTAGCAAGGAGATTCCTAGCTCCCCTGACTCCCACGTGGTCACAGAAGCCTCACTGGGGCGTGGAGTCAGGGGTGGAACATGAAGCTGTCAGTAGCAGATGTGCCCGGTGGCATCTGCAATATGTGAGCAGGCCCACAACCAGCCCAGGAAACCAGCCCCTTATCTACAGTAAGAGGCCCAGGGACCAGCCTGCTAGCAGTCAGACGAGCAGGAAGCTAGTACTAGCCCAGACCGCCCAACAATAACCCATCAACCATCAGCCCCAAGGGGCCAGGACTTGATAATAACTGACAGCTCCCCGACATTTTTCTCCTGCTTCCAACTTGGGGCCAGCCAGAGAAAGGCCAATATGCTCCCCTAACCAAGCGCACAGGAGGCGCCCTGTAGTCAGCCCGCCTGCAGCTCCCCAGGACAACAGCCTCCAGCCAGGCCCTGAAGCCTCCTTTTCTCCCAAAATAGAGCTTCCCCACCGCTCCGCCCCCTCTAGTCTCTGCCAAGACGCTCGGTGGTGGCTGACTCCCTTGTTACCGTAGATTCAGAAGAAATGGCCTTTGCTTTTCTCATCTGGTCTTAGCTTATTTCCATAGCTGACTTGATAAAACATTGGGCAAACTGACCCAGCTACTCAATATCTGTCTTTGTTCCAGGGAAATCATACAGAGGAGGAGGAAGCAACTTCGTTTTGTCAGGGTGGTCTTCCCACTTTATTGCTTTAGAATAAAAGCCCAACAGCTCCCCTCTGCTGTGCAGCCTGAAGGGAACTAGCCGGGAGGTAGAGTCGGGGAGACCCTGTGACGTTACCTCTAAACCTGAAGCCAGCGTGGAACTCACCACTTCTACCCAAGCTCCTCACCTGTGATTCTAGGTTCAACTTTTTTGAATTCACTCCAAGGGACATTTTCACTTTAAGGGCTACTTCTGGGCTGGTGGAACACCTTAGCTCAGGAGACATCCACATAACCAAAAAATAAATAAAAAGTCAGCTCCATTGGGAGAGGAGGAGGAGGAGAAAGGGATAAAAGAAAAGAGTGTTTTCCTGACTCTCAGGAGCTACAGCCCCTAGGATGACATCAGATGACCCTGGACAGACGGCTGTTTTGTTTGGCAGGAAATGATCACTTTATATCAAGTTTCCAAAAAGGGCTGATGCTGAGTGTTGCTACAGCAATGAAGTTCGAGACTGCAAATTAAGAAGCTCGTGTGAAGACCAGTGGGGACTGAGAAGGAACCAGTACCTCCCTCAAGTTGCCAACTGGGAAAGGTGGTTCCTGGGCAGAACAGTGTGCGGGGGTCACCAGCAGCCCCAGAGGAAGCCCAGGGCCTTGTCCCGGAGGGGCATTCTAACTACACGCAGACATTTAATTCAGCAGGGGAAGCCTTGACTCGAATAAGTGGATACCACTAAGAAAAAAGCCTGGGCAGTGGGTGCAATTCTTAAGGAAAAATATCCCCCAAAATGTTGAAAGGGAGAGATTGTCAGGAATAAAGCCATATGCCACTCCCAGGGACCGACAGGGACGGGGCGGGGGGCGGGGGGGATGTTCCAGTCTTCTGCCTGCAAGATATGATTGTGAGTGACGCCAGGAAGTGGGCGGGTGGGGTGACCAAGTTGAACTTCCCAGTGTTGATTCTTCCTGGGGTGACCGGAGGAGAAACAAGAACCCTTCCCTGAAATGTTAACCAGATAAACATGATCATCAGGCTCCAGTCTAAGACGGCGGTTCGGAGAAACTTTCAGGACTGGCTAAGAATTAATAAAAACCATTTCAGCCTCTTATCCTCTGGGACATGGTTCCATTAAAATCCCCATCTGGCGGCTCTCATCAAGCCAATGTACTTACTGTCTTGGGAGTGAGCGTCCACAGATGTGAATTTGGGTGGACAAACCAGAGATGTCAACTTGACTCTCCAAAGCCACACTCAGTGCTTGAAGGATGTGACTTAAACTCTGTCCCTGTGTGGCGTCCTGATTTTTAAGAGATAATTAAGGCCCTGACCGGTTTGGCTCAGTGGATAGAGTGTCGGCCTGCGGACTGAAGGGTCCCAGGTTTGATTCCGGTCAAGGGCATGTACCTTGGTTGCGGGCACATCCCCAGAAGTGGGTGTGCTGGAGGCAGCTGATTGATGTTTCTCTCATCAGTGTTTCTAACTCTCTATCCCTCTCCCTTCCTCTCTGTAAAAAAAATCAATAAAATATACATATCTTTAAAAAGATATAACTAAGGAACAAACAAACAAACAAAAGCCAGCAGCCCTCGAGTACACAAATTGTAGCTTGTGTCCATGCATCTGCTACTGTCCATTAGGTGAACTTGAGAGTTTGGGCTTTGGAGTAGTTCCAAGTTCCTCTTCATGTCTGAGAATAGGTGGTGAGAAGCCGGGGTCCTCCCATAAGGCAGGAGTCAGTTTATATCCTGGTTCTCCTGCTTGTTAATTGCGTGACTATAGACAGGTTGCCTAACCTCTCAGTTCTTTCGTCTGCAAAATGGAGATGATGATACTGGTGGTACCTACCTCAAAGATGCTCAAGATCTAAAAAGACAATGCATGCGCAGTGCTCAGTGCATCGAAAGTACCCAACAGATACTAACTATGCCCTTGTCTCTTTTTGCCCCGCCCCCACTACTCCCATTACAATGAAACACCAGAGGAAATGTTAGGACTCAGCTCTAAGGAGATTCGTTCCTTCCTTATCAATCCGAGAATGGATCATAAAGTTGACAAGTGCTCTGATCAGCCCAGGAAAAGGGAGCAGAGTGTCTTGGGGTAAGGAGTGAGGGGCCCAGAATTCATACAGGTGAGCATGCCGCGTGGCTCCAGGTAGCAGGTAGGCTGAATGCCAAGAGCTGGATCTTCAAGCCCCGAGTGACCCTGGCCCTCAGCAAAGAGCTCCACAATCACTGGTCATCATCTTTTATTGACTCAGATACATTTACAGATGGGTTTGGCAGTGTAAGTATCCCCTTAAACTCAGCTCATTCCTGTCCCCACCGTCTCCCGGGCATCTGCTGAGAGCAGGGTCCATGGAGTGGAACGGAGTCGCCACCACAGGCATGTCCAGCCTGAATGGGACCTTTTATCAGTAAATCAATGAGGCATCCTTCAGATTCTGTGACTTCTTTTGGGGGGGAAGGAGGAACACGGGCAATATTAACAATAGAACATTGTACTCAAGTCAGGCATCCAGAGAATTGAATTAGGGAGGAATGACAAAGGGGGAAAAAAATCAAATTAGAGGCAGAGGGTAGTAGAAGAGGTACAATCGGAGACAGCCGGCCAAATGCTTCTCACATCAGTGGGAGGAATCACGGACGTGAAAGACCTCGGCCCAGGTGGCTAGGACCTGAATTGTGTGTTGATGTTGAATCTGAAGGTCAGACAATCATCTTTCATGGATAACTACTAAGAAATCTGTTCAATATGTGGGTCCAAGGAATCAGAGGGCTGGCAGTTCATACAGGTTTTGAAGATAAAGAAATAGGTCTCCTTGAACTTTTTTATTTTAAAGGCATAGACGATAGGGTTCATCATGGAGTTCGCGTGAGACAGCAGGATGCCCAAGTTCAGCACCACCTGGGGCACCTCACCATTAAAGTAGATGATGCAGTTGATGATGGATAAAGGCAGCCAGGACAAGGCAAACAGAAAGAGAACCAGGAACAAGGACTTGGCCGTCTTGAACTCCCGTCCATAAAATGAACCTGTCTCCCTGGAGCTGGAAAAGTTCAGACTGAGTTTGTTCCGGATGATACAGAAGATGTCCATATAGATGGCGCACATGGCAACCAGGGGGATGAAAATCCAAGTGAAGAAGCTGAAGTACACCATGTAGTCCATCCTCATGACCGAACGGAACTTGCAAGGAAAGAAGGTCACATTTCTGGGGGGCCCTGGGGACAGTTTCATGTTCCAGCCGAACATGGGGGTCAACCCCACCAGGATTGACAGCAGCCAGCAAAGGCCCAGGGCGCACCATATTCTCCTCTGAGTGGTGACACTCCTGTATCTGTTTGGATGGGAGAGAGTGGGTGAGTTCACAGCATTTGCTAAAGGGCGGGGTGGGCGGCCGGGGGCGGGGGGGAGGTGGAGCTGGTCCAGGAGAGAGGAATGGAGAGTGTTGGTATTCTATGATGATTTTGGCTAAATGCTACTGGATATGAAGACAAGATGAACAGACAACAATTAGAAAAAAATCCCAAAACCTCTCTGGGGGAGCTTTCTAAAGAAGCATGATCTGGTCCTCTCTGTGTGGCTCAGTGGTTGAGTGCCGATCTCTGAACCAAGAGGTCACCGGTTTGATTCCCGGTCAGGGCACATGCCCGGTTTTCGGGCTCAATCCCTAGTAAGAGGTGCGCAGGAGGCAGCCGATCAGTGATTCTTTCTCATCATTGATGTTTCTCTCTCTCTCCCTTCCTCTCTCTGAAATAAATAATAATAACAACATACTTAAAAGGAAGTATGATCTGTAGTGGATCAGGATTATGCTACCTGGACTCAGGGCTCACAGGCTGCACTCACAAGTCCATTTCCAGCCCAAGAATTCTTCAGTTCCTGGGAGGTAAGAGTCAGTCATCTAAGTCTCCTGGGATCGCCTACCTGGTGAGAAATGATCTCCAAGCATGTTTGCCTGCATTGTTTGCTCGTTGGGTTACTTTTTTGTTCTGGTGTCCTTTAATTATACTCTGCCTCCCCCACACCCCCTCTTTCTTTGAATACCCTGCTTTTCTTCTTACACTGACACCACACTTGGTGTTTGAGTTCAATGACTCCGTGGAGTTGGGAAGGTCATGTTGAAATGCTTCCAGGACCATAAATGCTCATCCATTGAGAGTCGCCATTTCTCCTTAACCCGTCCTTCCTGACAACGTTCTGCACAGACTGCAAGAAGGGCACTGACGTTGGTAAGTACTGTGCACTTAGTAGACTTTCTCTTAATGAAATCTCACAATTTGTATGAGAATCTCCATTTCATTAATAACAGTGAAAATAAATAGTAGGGTTACCATTTATTGAGCCTAGACTGTGGGCCAGGCACTGTTCTAAGAGCTCTGCGTGTGTCAATCCACTTCATCTTATGAGGAAGGTGCAATCGCTGTCCCCCTTTTATAGGTGAGAAAAATTAAGTAACTTCTACAGATCAGAAGTGGAGAAGCTCACACTGAAAAGAGGTAAGGCGCAGAGCATCGTAACCATTATGTGGTAAGATGAGGAACCAAAGGAGAGAAAGTTCTATCCTACGCCCAAGATCAGATTTCAGGGTCTGGGATTTGAACCCAGGCTTGTTTGTGTCAAAAGCTTGTCTACAGCTCCCTCACATGCTCCTTCCCCGAGAGGAGAGAGGAGGAACACGAGACGCATGCAGTCGGGGGAACCGGATTCCTCCATTTGGTGGTCTGTTCCATTCACTTGGTCACATGAGAGATTGTCACTATTCCGTGCAATGGGGAACTTTTTTGGTCCCCTTCTTGACATGGAGGAGGAGGAAGCAAAGTGGAAGCAACTTTAAAATAACCTACAGTTATTTGCAAGGAAGAGAAGCGTGAGCTTATCTTAGCTGTCTGTTCCTTATCTTATCTAGCAGGTTTCTACCGCTTCTAAAAGTCAAGGGCGTTGTTTACTAATGAAATATGCATCAAGCTTTGATCGTCGCTGGCTCCCCTGGCTGATCGAGCGCACACGCCCCGAGTCCCTGGACAGGGATTCCTCTTTCTCGCTCCTGAGTCTCAGCTCGTCACTGCCGAAGCCCTCACACACCAAGTGGTGAAACGAGCCTCTTTCGGGCTCGGGCCAATTTGGATTTGCTTTTTTTCAAAAAGTCTGGGACCTGAACCTTGCAGTCCCGTTTCCCAGACACCTCTATCACCGCCCCACCCCACCCCTCTTCAAGCCCGTTACCTGACCGTGAGCTTGACCCGCAGGTATCGGTCCACAGCAATGGCTAGCAAGAACATGATGGAGGCGTGAGTGAAGACCAGCAGCAAGCAGGTCATGAGAAGGCAGCTGTAGAAGTGGACCGTGAGGCCCAGGCTGACGACAACAGCCAGGGGCATGACCAGCACCCCAACAGCAATGTCAGCCAGGGCTAGGGAGACAATGAAATAGAAGGTGGTGGTATGCAGGCTGCGGTTCAGCTTGACCACCCAGATGACCAGCACGTTGCCCAGTATGGCGCAGAGCCCAATGACAATCTCCATGATGATGTAGAATATGCTGGCCCACGTCAGGGTGGTGCTGTTGACAGGCATCTTGGTTTCCCAGAGGAGCCTCCCGGGTGACAGGTGCACAAACAGGCTCCGGGCGGGCCAGGGAGCTCAGCTCTTGCTGGAGGTCCAGGTGCAGCAGCCACAGCCTACAACTCACCCATGCCTTCTGCTGGTCTCTGGTGGGGCGCGCCCCTGGAGGACCTCCGCTCCTTAGAGAGAGCCCATCACAGGGCTCACTTCCAGCCCCTCTGCCGGCCACACATCCCTGGGCTCCCAAAAGCTTCGTGGGCTGAATCTGAAAGAGCTATCGCTCTTAGTTCCCCAGACAGATGCGCTCAAGGACTCCGCCTTCCCCTGTCCCGTAGGGCTCACGAAGCTCCATCAAGATAAGCAGCCCTCTTCAGTGTGTTTCAGGAAGTGAGATGGGCCAAGAGGAAGCACAGAGCCAGGGACCCTCAGCAAGAAGATGGAGAGGACGGAGGAGGGCGTGTGAGTGGCTTGGAGAAGGCTCAGCATTCTTCACTCAGGACCGGATGCTGGATCGCTAGCGTAGCGCAGGGTGGGAGCGGGGGTGGGAGCACTGACAGTGAACTATTCTGGCTTTCTGCTGGTTTAGCAAAACATCCCGTGACAATGAGGCAAACGGACACACAGAGGAACAAGAAGTGGTCTTTGGTGGCAGGCCCCTCACCTTAACCAGAATTTACTCTTCCTACTGTACATAGAGCATAGAGACTGACTGTGTGTCCCTCCAAAATTCACACATTGAAATCCACCTCTCAAGACGATGGTATATGGAGGTAGGGTCATTGGGAGATTATTAGGTCATGAGGGTGGAGCCCGCATGAATAGGATCAGGGTCCTTATAAGAGACCCCACAGAGCTCCTCCCACATCCATGAACCAGGAAGTGGGTCCCCATCAGACACGGAGTCTGCCTGAGCCTTCATCTTGAACTTCCCAGCCTCTTGTTTATAAACCATCCACTCTGCTGGGCACAGGGGCAACCCGGCCTTCATATCAAAGATCTTTTGTCACGGGGACAAGCTAAGGTTCCCTGCTCAGAAGATGCAGCACGTCCCATAGCATCATGTCTGCTCCATCACCCCTTCCCAGCCAGCACCCCGCCGGACAACCACCTGTGTCAAACCTATTTGAGGGATAGCAGGACGACAGGATGGCCGGCCACGCAGAAAGGAGGGAAAGAGCAACGTGTTCATGTGATCACAGGGCATCCCCTGCCCCTCGCGTGCCCCGAAGCCCACCCCCAGCCCGAGGAACAGGTGTCTGTCTGGGAATCGGGCCCTATCCCTGAAGTTGCTCACCTGGTCTCCGCTCCTGGGAACCAGACACTCGGGGCGATTGCTATTTGAGGGCCACCTAGTTCAGGTGTTTCTCTGTGCCGCCCAAAAGGGTCATTTACAAAAACAGCTGAGCCTCAGCCCACACAGTGGGTTAAAGGGTTTGGAATATTTACCTTAAAGCACAAACCTATGTACAGCCCCAAATGCATTCCATGATCAACTGCGGCTCTGGGGCTTGCTAACTGGCCCCTGGCCTTGGGTGCTGGCGAGATGCCTCCGCTGGGGCCTGCCAGGGTCCCCTCGCCACCCACTGATGCCCACTGCGCCCCAGGCTGGCGGGTCCACATCTATCTGAGTGCCTCCCCTGCCCTGTCTCCCTGAGCCAACTCCCCAGACACGAAGGGGCCTCTGACTGCATCCCTTACCGGCTTCTACGTGGCCACTTGTCAACGTTTCCTCTGAAACCGCTCTCTTATCTCTCCTCGGAGAAGAAAGTCACAGGAGCCATGTCTAGGAAGCCGTGCGGATAGGGGGTGGGGGGTTGTTCTCACGCTGTGGTGACCTTTGAGTCACTCTAAAAAACACACTCTCCCCCCAGCCCCTCCCCCCCAGGGGCACCAACGAGCCTGCAGGAGGGTGAGGCGAGGTACGCTGCCTGGTTGTGGGGCTGGGACAGCCCAGCTTTCCTGGGGCCTTGGCATCCAGGGTCTGCTCGCACCCAGCCTGGCTGCCGAGGGCGGCGGGGGCTCTGTGTTGGGGAGCTGGCGGGTGACACAGCTCCTAGAAGGAAGCCTGAGGTGCCTATGGAGAGGTGGTGCCGGCCGGGGAGAGTGTCCGAGCCTCGGAGCCAGCCCCTGACCGGCGCGTGTTCTCATCCTTGCCCCTCCCTTCCCCTTTGTGCCCAGGGGAGCCCTGCTCAGCGGAGACCTGCCCATCTCAGCTGAGTGAGAGAAGCCACGGACGGGGGTTTTGTCCCAGCACCAGTCACAGGAGCAGCGTGGTGGGGACAGGATGGCCTGTGAGACGTTAACCCATGGGATACAGGAGAGGAGGGGACACGCTTGGGGCCACCGACCAAGCCACCTCTTCACCCCTGGGATTCCGTCTCCAGAATTCCCTGTGCCGACCTGGGACTTCCCCTCCTGGGCGGGGACGCCTTCCTCTATACCAGTGGTTCTCAACCTTCCTAACGCCCCGACCCTTTAAACCAGTTCCCCATGTTGTGGTGACCCCCAACCATAAAATTATTTTCGTTGCTACTTCATCACTGTAATGTTGCTACTGTTATGAATCGTAATGTAAATATCTGATATGCAGGATGTATTTTCATTGTTACAAATTGAACATAATTAAAGCATAGTGATTCATCACAAAAGCAATATGTAATTATATATGTGTTTTCTGATGGTCTTAGGTGACCCCTGTGAAAGGGTCGTTCGACCCCCAAAGGGGTCGCGACCCACAGGTTGAGAACCGCTGCTCTACGTGTTCTGAGCAGAGAGCTTTCAGGGTCGCTTCCCTTCCGGGCCCAGGACGGGGCCTGAGTGTCCTTTCCGCCAACAGGTGCAGGGGACAGAGGACAGGAGGCCGCCGCCGGTCCTGGTTAAGTAGCTGCCCCATCACCTCGTGCGGGGACCTCCTCACCCTCCTAACCCACCCCAGAGGCCGGGTTCCCCCACAGCCTCCAGCGGCCCTCAGGGTCAAGTCCACACTCCTTGGAATGGCCAGGGGACCCTCTGCAATGGGGTCTCCCGGCCCTGCAGCCTCCTGTCGCCTGATTTCCCAGAAACCACGGGCCACCGGGCGGGCGGATCCCCAAGGCCGAAGGCAGCTTTCACTTCCCGCCCCTGTGCACACGCTCTGGGCCCGCTAGGGAGGCCTCCACCCCTCAGCCTAGAAAACAAGCCCTGTTCCCTCCAGGCTGCCCTGAAACCAGGCCTTGGGGGAAAGCCCCAGACGCCGCCCCTGCTGGAGCCCCGAGGTGCCGAGTTTTTCCTGGGAGTTTTGGAGGGCGGTGCCTTTACTTTCCTGCCTGCTGCCTGCCCCTTTCAGGGCCTGGCGGGTGGTGGGCGCTCAGTTTAACGGGAAATGAACTGCTGGCACAAGGAGCCCCCCCCCCCCGGTCTGACGGTGCCGTGTTGTCAGGAGGAGGTTCTAACCTCACGTCTGGGGAAGAAAGAAGCGGCCAAGACCATGGGAGTGAAGCGCAAGTGTAAAGCAGGTCGGGCCCCAGCTCTGAGTGAGGAAGAGAGGGAGGAACCAGACAGACACCACACACACACACGTACATGCACACACACACACACACACACACCCCGGTCACTGGGGCTGGGGCCCCGAGGGAGCCCTGGGCCAGAAAGAAAAGCTTCCATTGGACCAAGATGCCAAAAAGAATTATATATAAATTAAAAAGATGTAATATGCAAATTAGGCTGGGTCACCCTAACGGTCACAACCAGCTCAGGAGGAGGGGCCTGGCGGGGGCCCAGAGCCTGAGAGAACAACAGACAGGGTGGCCTGGGCCTGGCCTCGGAGCTGAAGAGAACAACACGCGGGAGGGCCGGCCCCCCAGCCCCAGCCCTATGGCCAGGTTCGATTCTGATCAAGGGCATGTACCTAGGTTGCAGGCAGGATCCTCCCTGGCTGGGGCCCAGGTCAAGGCTCATGCAGGAGGCAACCAATTGAAGTGTCCCTCTCACATTGATGTTTCTCTCTGTATTTCCCTCTCTCTTCCACGCTCTCTAAAAATCAATGGGAAAATATCCTCATGTGAGGATAAAAAAAAAAAAAAAGAAAGAAAGAAAGACATGTCATATCCTTTGAAAGAGACATCTTGAAAATGCCTAAAGAAAGTTGTCATTTTTTCGTGGTGAAGGGACTGGAGTCTGTGTTGATGAAAACACCTTGGCGGCTGCGGCGGCTGGCAGTGGCAGCAGGAGTGGGGTGATGGGGGTGGCGCCTTCCCCTGATCAGCCCAGTTGCCTCCCACAGAGGCAAGCCATCAGTAGGACATCCCCTGAGGGCTCTGATCTGTGAGAGGGGGCAAGCTGGGCTGAGGGTACACCCCCACCCCAGTGCACTAATTTCGTTCATTGGGCCTCTAGTTCTAAATAATAAACTACAAGTGAAATGTGGCTCAGGGATTTTCCCATAAAAGGAGGGTCATGTTGGTTTCAGTTCTACTAAAGAACCTGAACTTGGTGGAGGAGGCAAGGCTGTGGGAGGAAAGGCCACTGGAGTCCTGGGGAAAGGCCTCGCCTATCCCCAGCCTGGGGCGGAGCCTCCTGACCAAGGAAGGGCTCACCCATGAGCCTGCAGCCTTGACCTTGGAGTTCTGCTTAACATCCCAAGAGGCTGGCCAGAGACTCATCAGATACTTTGCAGCTTCTCAGAGCATCCTGGGGAACCCCAGCAGCCAGCCTGCAAAGGCAGCAAGAGGCAATGTTAGCGGGGCCCAGGCAGGGAGGCCGGGCCCCCGGGCTGGTGCAGGTGGCAGCCAAGACAGGATGTCGGGTAGGCGGCAGGTGGCCGCTTCTGCGGGGCTGGCTCTCCCGGACTCGCTGCTGCCTGCAGAGTTGCACAAAATCAGTTTGCTCACTTCCTCTTGGCTCCGTGCGACTTCCCCAAAGCCTCACAGAGCTTTAGTCTTGCTAGCCAACGGCAGGGGCTTAGAAAGGACGAGGGCCCACAGTCAGCCCAGGGAGGTGGCCAGCCCTTACTCCCCACTCCCAGCACCCCA